ATATATATATATATATATATATATATATATATATATATATATATATATATATATATATATATATTACAACAGACCAAAATTTTTAAAGATATTTCCAATTGCTTGTTAAGTGATGTAATAACAATATGTGATTGCTTTCTATAGTAAGCTGTGCAACACATTTTGTCCCATAAAATATACGCAGGAGCCTGAGAAAAAAGATTCTGAACTTCTAAAAAAAAGAGACAAGATATTGAGGAGAGTCCTTAAAAATTTGACTTGAAATTGGACCGAGTTCATCAGAAAGGAACCAACCCACGTCAAGTTGAAACTGAGAAAAAGAGGTTTGAAGTTTTATTCCTCCGTAAGACTTGATGTAGAAAGTAAACTTTAATTCCTCTTTTCACAAGCTAATATTTTTTTTCGACTTTGATTTTTAGCAGGAGAAAATACCTATACAGCTAGAGGAACTCAAAAACATTTTTAACTCAATTTTTCCGAAAATGTGGGTTGGTTCTTTTCTGATGAACTAGGTCAAATTAAAACTGAAAATACTTGAAATTTAAAATAAAGGCAATAAGAGCTTGTTTTGTCTTCCCTTCCAAACCTTCAGAGAGGCGGCAATTTCTGCATCCCTACACCTCTGATTAGAACTGGGTTGAAATTTCAAAAAGATCCATCATTAATAACGCTGTAAATACTGTGAAATTTTTCAGAAATGCGGGGCAGATTGTGTCAAGTTTCAGAAAGCATACAATGGTGAGAAGTTCAATAAAGCAGCTCTCGCGCGACCCTATTTGAGCAAACACTCGTGGGGAAGGACCTACGGGGAGCATAAAAAATATTTGGAGTTTTCAGACGAGGACTTCAGAGAGCTGCGTAATTATGCAGAAAAAGTTATCAAGATCCCGTTCACTGCTTCAGCAATGGATTCCGTAAGCATGTCGTACGTACATGTAGAAAAAGTGCAAATACATTACTAGAGAGATGAGAGAGAGTTGCAAAACAAAAGCAATCTTGAATTAGTAGAGCCAGATTTTAGACATCACATTGTAAACCTCTCAACGTCTAAAAATTTGAGATAAATTTAAAAAGTATTTTGCTGATTTTCATTTGAAAATTACGTACTTCCTAAAACTTTTGGAAATTATATATTTTATAAAAATATATATTAATATAATTTACTATATTTTAATTATTTATGACAATAAGGGTAAGTTTCCACTGTTTACTGATTATTTTCCCCTATCCGTTTCCTTCTGAAAAAACGAACAATTTGTACCTTGGTCCCTCACAGGGAAATTTCGTGAATTATAGTACGACAATAGAATAATTCAAAATTGACTTTCCATTCCTGAACAAATTCCAATCCTGGTGAAGTAACATTGAGAGTATGATAGTAAAACAGATACCACTAAAAATAATAAAGAAGAAGTTCGTCAAAATGAAGAACTTAAATTCTTGTGGATACGTATGAGAAGCGATAAAAGACTAAGAGTTGAGCTTTTTCTATTGAAGATATGATCAAATAATTAAGGGTACTTGTATGTGTGTTCATGCTTTTCTGCTTGCGTTTATAGAGTGCAGTAATGATGATTTTTGATTAACCAAATCTTTTCATTTTAGAAGTCCGTGAGTTTTTTGGAATCAATGAAGGTGCCTTTCATCAAAATTGGTTCGGGGGACGTTAAAAACATTCCTCTAATACGACAAGCAGCAGCAACAAATATACCTCTTGTCATATCGACAGGTGAGCATGGGCTTGTGTATTCATTTGCAAAGGTTAAAATTCAGTTGGAATTAGGATTAAAATTTGGTTAGAATCATGATTAAAACCCTAACATAAGTTTTAAAGGAAATGTAATGTGATTACAGTAAAACTGAGCAAAAAAGATATCCGCCAACGGTTGTTCATTAAAAATTACATGACTCTCATAGTGTTCACTGCTCAAGAAAAACTTGTAAACAAAGAGATAACTCTCAAAGAAACTGTCAATATAACTGAGTTAGTGAGTCCATTTTGCTTCTTTTTTTTTACTTGAATATGCCACTTCACTCTTTAACAAGATTTACGGCACTTTATTTTAGTAAATTTCGACATTAATTTTAATTAAAATATTGATTTTCTTGCAGCACATTTTGCGATTCATTCCGTGTTTAGCAAAATAAGCAACTATGAGCAAAATTCACAAGTAGCAGATGTGAGTCTTTTTTACAATTAAACATTGTGATGCCAATTTTTTTGGAAACAAATCTTAAAGAAAATTTCACATAAATTTTACTTAACAAGAAGAAAAAGGGTTGCCTGATTCGTAGATTTTAATAATTTATTCACGTTTTTTCAAAGTCCTTAACAGTCAATGCTATTGGGGGGAGGAAGGGGGAGGAATATTTCAATTGCAATAGCTTAATAATCAAGTTATTTGCAAAAAACTTCTTACAAAAATTAAGCAAAATCCTAAATCGTAGTCCTTTCAAACGACTATTTGTGGACTACATTTACCATCAAATTTAGATACAGATTTTCAAAGGGGCAAAGCATGAATAAAATTTCGTTGTTGGTCTCCATTATTTCATTAGATAGCTTCAAGCTTACACCAGTTCTTCCTACAGTATGGATAATGCAAAAACAGCTTGACATTCCTGCATTTCAGGGATGAGTGACATGGAAGGAGTCCAGGAAATCTATGCAACAGTGAAGCAGTTACACAAGAAGTTCATCCTCCTACATTGCGTTTCAGCCTATCCACCGCCCCCGAGAGAAATAAACCTACGAGTTATCTCTGAGTTCCAAGACCGTTTTCCAGACGTCCACATAGGGTATTCAGGCCATGAGTGTGGAATTGGAGTCTGTTTGGCTGCTGTGACCAAAGGCGCAAGGGTAAGTGAACGCTTAAATCCTACGGATGGAAAATTCTCTGGAGTTCAATAGTTACGTCCTTGCTGACCAAAAATTTTAATTTTGTGAACGGCTACCAATTGATGAAATATTTTAAAGGAGGAGGTACTTTTTAATAAGTTCACGACACAAATGAAAATAAAGGAGGAGGGACAGAGAGGGAAGGAAAGAAAGAAACAGAGATATTAAAGACTTTACTTAAGACCACATATTTTATGTATCCTCATATTTTATGTAGTCCTTTGACCACAGGTAATCGAGCGGCATATAACCCTAGACAAGAATCTCAAAGGCAATGACCACCACTGCTCCCTGGAACCGAAAGAGTTCAAACAAATGGTGGAGGAGATCCGAACCATCGAAGCTGCGTTGGGACAGAGGCAAAAACGGATTCAGGACTCCGAACTACCTTGTATTGCTAAGTTAGGCAAAACAATTGTCGCGGCGACCAATCTTTCAAAAGGCACTGTGCTGACACCTGAATGCGTGAAGATCAAAGTGGCCGAACCAAAGGGCCTGGATCCAAAAGAATATGAGGGGAGGAGACTAAACAGGGATGTTGCGGAAGATGAGAGTATAACAACACAATGTGTGCAGACCTTATGACAGTAAAATCCGGATTGAGTTTAGAGTCTAAAACATCCTTCTTGATGTATTGCTGATGATCACATTGAGAAAGATTGGAACCTCACCTTTTGCTAACTTGAACTTGGTATTACTTAATGATCATACTGACCGTTAAAAATGCCTTTAGTTGGACAGTGATGGATGAGAATATAATGCACTTTTACAAAGATTTGCACTTAAATTCAAATAATATTTTTCAGCTTGAATCTATCGAACTGGCTAAAAAAATTTGTCAAATCATTGTTGCTGATGGTGCAAGTGGTATGCCTAAAAATTTAAGCTACAGTAATACCTTAATTATATACTCATCACTTGTCCGACCTGACGATGAGGCATGATTATCGTTTTATCGTTTCCTTTGTTTTTTTTTTTTATTACATATTTGATGTAGTTTCACGTGTTTTTATGCATTACGATTGGCCAAAATTTCTGGAGTCCAGCTCACACACCTGTCATAATTCATCGGATAATCAAGGTTTAGCAGTATGGCTGTACGTATACTGAATTAAAACTTATGTCTTCAAAAGCTTGATACTTTAGTAAAAAAGAAAAAAACCTTGATCTGAATTTTTACATTTCCAGTTACCTACATTCCTTATTCCTAAAAGATTACAAGAGAAAGAAAGTTATCAGAGACTAGAAAAGAAAAGGAAATTGACTTGCGAGGATGATTGTACTAAATTCTACGCTGATAAAATGTGAGGCATAAACAAACAAGATGATTCATCACATCAAATTAAGGCTTTATCTCTACCAAATTCCACTCACAAATCATACTTGAAGATATTGAGCATAAAAATACATAAAAAATGTGATATTAATTCTAATATTTTCCACAACTTGCAAAGGGGCTGCCCATTGAAACTTCATTATGGTTGCTTAAAACCTTAAAAAAAGAATGTTTTGCCATTTAACATAATAACTAAACCCTTCAATTAGGGGTAATGGGAAAAAATTGCAAAATTGAAAATACATGCATAAGAAGGAAAAAAATTACAGAATTTTCAAGATAAGCGTGCAGTAATATCAAATATTGAAGTTCTGAGAAATAGGGCACAGAAGAGAAGAGAGAGACTCTAATAAAACTAACGAATAAAAATCCGATTGAAAAAGTATTTATTGCACATTCACAAATAAAAGAACTTTAGAAATTCTTAATAAAAGAGAAAACATAAAAACACAGACACAAACATGCATTATATGATCAAGATATAAATGGCAACGATGAGCAGTCTTAAAAATCAGAGTAAATATATGAGAAAATCTTCAGACAACAGCATTCGTTAAAAATTCATCAATGATCATGCAGCTAGCATTCTTGTTGAGAAAACTTTAAGGTTTACTCCAGTGAAATAGCTTTTTTAGTTTCCTATCAAACTGGGTTACACTGAAAGTGATTTTCAGGCCCGACCCCAGTAAAAATGGCGTTTCATGTATCAGGGTTGCCATAGAATTTAGCAAATTACTTTCTCCTTTACACATTTAGGTAATAATTCCTGATAATTAAGGATATCGACGGTGAAACTACCAGACCACGTATCTCGTTTGCGGTGTTTAAAAATCTCCGCTCTCATATTATTTTTTTTAAGAAGAACAATTCAATATTATTACTTGAAATTTTCACAGAATTTTTTTCGCACTGAGAGGAAAAATTACAGAAGTTTTCAAGAATCAACATTGAGAAGTTTCCTCTTTAAAAAATAAAGTATGACAGGAAGTTTGCGACGCCGCAAACTGAGATACGTGGTTTGGTAGTTTCACCGTCGATATGCTGGTTGGTTGGAATGACATAAGAAAACATTTTCTGAAACTGGAAAATGATTCAGATCTTTCTAACACAGTGGTCCGAACATTTTCTCTTCTGCGTGGTAATAATAAGGAGAAAAGTATCACAACTCACTGAGACAAGCTTTTGAACCATTCTGAGAGTCACAGTCGTAATTGTAAGTAGTTGGAATTGTTAGCCTCTTTCTTGTAACCGAATTGACCGTAAAACGGCACTAGGCTATCTTTACACTCCAGAGAAACTTTATAAACTTTCAGGTACTCAGCCAGGGCTGTCATGGTCCCGATCATTCTGGAAAAAATAATCAAATATCAAGCATATAGAGGGCGCCATTATCTAAAAGAATGGCAGGGGTTTTATTAAAAAATGTAATTTTCACTGTTTACAATGGACAAATTGTCACAAGAAAATTGAGGGGTTTCATAAATGCAAGATGTTTTTGTCATTCAGCTGTACATATTTACAAAGATTCTAAAGATTTTGCTTGCTTTGATAACAAACCAACTATGAGTAGATATTTAAAAACTTTATCCACAAAAGAAGAGCCCCCCCCCCTCCCCCCAATAATATTGAACGGAAATCTGCACTGACGTATGTATTTCTTTACCACACAACTTATCAAAACTTGCGTTACCTCAATGGCGCTATTGACCAGAAAAATTGATCTTGAAAAAGCTTTTTAATTTTTGCTGATAATATGCTTATTGCTCTTATTTGACAGCGAGTTTGAAACTCTTTTCAAAGAAAAAATTAGCATCATAGAGCACTCTGAAAAAACAAGATTGCGACGAAAATGTAAGCTAAAACTTGAGCTTGTAAACCTAACAAAATTTAAATTATTTATACTGTAGACTTAAGTTCGTAATTTTGAATGATACCTGCAGTTGATGTTGCATATTTTTTACATTTTTGAGCTGAGAGTTTGTTACCTTAGCGTTTTTGGCTTTCCTGTTCTCAAGTTGTTAAGATTTCAAAAACTGAGGGGGATAAAATACAGGAAAAATTATAAAACTGTGGCACTCTTTTTCCTCTTCTTTTTCATAGGACAATATTTTCTTTACTCAAATGGGTGGAGAGAAAGTACAAATTTACTCAGAGACATCTGGATTCCTACAAATTAGAGTGAAATAAAACTTCATAACTCGGTCCAAATAAAATAAAAATCAGAAACTTTTAGATAAAAAGCGTGTAACTCACAGTTTTCCGAGTTGTTTCCCTCGTTTTGTATCACAGACAACGACGTCTTCTATTCGACCTCGCTGTTAAGAAGAAAGAAAAAGATCTAAAATAACCAAGACAGGAGAGAGCAAAAAATATGAATGGCTATTTCTGAGCTCAATTACACTTACAATTCAATTGATTGATTTATTAAAGACTTTATTCATTTACTTCAGATGTACCTGAGCTATTGCTTTGAGTTAGAGGGTTAAGAGGGAGATAAAAGTTAATCCACGGTCCAATCGCACTGCTATGAAATTTTTGAAAGAATCAGAGAGTTATTTTTCTTTCAAAACAAGCTTGATTCTTTATTCTGAAACCAACTGATTGAAAGGACTAAAAGAAGAAACAAGTGAGAAAAGCAATTAAAGAACACATGTTAGGCTAAATTTTAAAGAAAAAAGAGTATACTCACTATTCCACATTCATGAATGAATTTCTGTTCAATGACTAAAGTTGTTGTGGCTACAATTGTATTCGTTTCTAGATCTTCAACAACAGCTATGTAATATGTATTTGGGCATTGTTTCATTTGTGAAAACCGCTCTGTAAATTCAGAAAAGATTAAATAAACGCCTCTTGGTTAGAAAAAATAGGAGAAAAAATAGCCAATAAATTCTCCTTTTTATCATCTAAATAACTATAATAGGATGCAAATATCATTCCTCCAAAAGCTGCAAGGCTTAAAAATTGAAGCTTACTTTCAGGAAGATACTCAGGATTGAACAAAGCATTCTGTACTAAAGTAGCTACATATTGGGTTGGTCGCATAACATTTCAACAGAGTGTCTGACAGGTGTTCCCAACATGAAATTTCATGAAAAAAGCCTAAAGTCCATTAAAAATTCAAAAAGATACTTCTCAGGAGAGAAAAAGCTGATTACAATCCGACTTACCAAGGGTCGACGGTCATAATGACGTTTATTAGGAGACCATGTGCATTCAGTGTCTCCCAAGTGCTATGCACAATGTCAATTCTATGTCGAATCATTAACTCAATTACTCATCTATTTTTGAAGTTAATGAATTGAGAACTGGAGTTAGGAGTTTTTAATTTCTGCTGTTTTCTGACTATCTAATTTGTTTTCTAAGTTTGTAGCATATTTCCTCTGATTTTGTTTGCTTTTGAAGGAAATTCATTTTAGAAGATTTAGTTTCATAAAGTGATAGAGAAAAAAAAAAAAAAAAAAAAAAAAAAAAAAAAAAAATGAAAACTTCTTTAGACAGAAAACAACTGAAATAGGTAAATTTGATAATGATTTGATTTAGGGGTGTGATCTAATTTTTACAAAGTTCATTCTCACCAAAACAACCCAAGAATCCTATTTTACTCGCTTACTACACAATTATTTGTGATTTAAGTGAGAATAATAAATGAAATTTGAACTTACTTTTGAACTGATCAAACGTAACATCACCAGTAGATGTGAGTTTTCCTAAAAGACCAATGTAACCTGGAACAAAGGAGCCAACGATAACTGGGTGAAAAAAGTGTACCTAATTCAGCTAGGTACAAATTTTATAATTATGAACATAATGATTGGTCAATCTTCTGGAGTGTAGAGGTGGTAGCTCTGGCCTAATGATAGAGAGGTCTCCAGTTGGATTCTTGGCCAAACGACCCAAGTTTGATGGTCTGAGGCAAGGGTTACGCACAAGGCCTGCAAGGGGCTATGAGTAAAGGGATGAGAAGATCGAGTGTGGGTTTAGTTTCCGCAGGCTATTTGTAAAATGGTTGGAAAAAAACTTATTACGGATCATGAATGTTCTATTTAGAAGCCCTTGTGATTGGGAAAAAACTTTTCAGTAAATTATACTCATAACAATTTTAAAAATACCAATTGAATTGGGGTATTTTCTAATGTAGAGGGTTCTGCACAACTTAATAGAGTCCAAGCGTAACAGAATAACTGATCTGACCAAAATTGTATAGGGGTTTCTTCTCTCTTTTTTAAAGCAACACCACACGTGGCCCAGATTGTTGGCGGATAAAATGAACTTTTGAAATATTAGCTTACCTTTGTGATAGTCATTGACGTTCAAAGGACGCAACTTCAAGTTGTCACCAGGATTGTTAGGAGAGATTGGAGGACTGAACTGGCTGGTATGCTTCGAGAAATCAATCAGCTTTAGCATACCATCATCAAAAAGATTCTGAAAAATTAATCACGAAACCATACATTGACCAGGTATTGATGAAAAAATTCAAACACTTTCATTAATATCTACGACAATAATAATTTTTGTCAGTTTAACTTTAATGGGAATATATTCAAGGAAAAATGATGACTTACACACATGCATATTTGTCGCTTCATGACGCTCTTTAGCCTCCTAAAACATTTTGTCAGCCTCTCTGATAAAATATAAATCTTTGGAAACGGCACATGTGAACTACCAGCAGCCTGATCGTTGACATTTACGTCAGCACGACAAGAATTGAAAATCGATACATTACGCAGCGCAGATAGGGCTATGTCTTGTCTTATCTTACCGACATAGCCAGTTGAAGTTTCGACGATCGGGCTGCAGGTGGTTCAATGTAACTGCTAAGCTCTGCCAAGATAACTACAAGCTATTGCACACCATTAGAGGGCGCTCTATCATGCGCCTGGCATAGGAGCCCAACATGTACCACAAGTAAGAATCAATATCTATTATTAGTTACCTACCTATAAAAAATCGCAATGAGTTTGGCGTATACTATTAGACACCACACTTAACACAATGCCTCTCGGGACAAGTTTAACTTTGGACATTCAAATTTATTAAGCATTTTCTAACTTCAGACGTTTGTGTCATTGGACATTACCCATTGAACATTTTAACTCGTCACCATGCTAACCCGCTATGCTAAACACCAAGTTAGGTGGTGAGAGATAAAAGCGGTGCATAACCAAGAACCGAATAGTCACTGGGTCTCCAAGGATTGAGAACTTTTAAAGAATTTGTTACCCTGATAAATTTTACAACATGGAAATTACTTTAAGTTCCGTAAACCTGCGACACACAAATTGTGAGAGTACAGTTGTTACCTAACTCGATTACGCGGATTCAGCAAACCAAGAGGTTAAGCCGGCCAGGTTGGCCTAGTGGTTAGCGCGTCTGACTCTAGGTCAATAGGTCCCGGGTTCGAATCCCGGTGGTGGCGACAAATTTTCATGGAACTGACGAGTGGATCTGCAGAAACAGATTCCACCCGGCCTTAATCCCTGAAAATTTGAAAGCCTGGAGCATGGATGTGCCCAGATCCTATAGATGTCTAAGGACAATAAATACTGTCTATCGATGGCTGTAGGTTCCAACGGAACATAAGCCAATAAACCAGCAATAAAAAAAAAAAAAAAAAAAAAAAAAAAAAAAAAAAAACCAAGAGGTTACGTCCATATTGTTAGTAACACCGGGGGCATAAGTCTGGGCAAATATGACCTTAAACTTGAAAAAGGCATAGCATAGGAGTGATCAAAGACCTGAAGATTTGAAACTCTACCGAAATGGCCATCGTCTGAAGGAAAAGCAAACAACTATGAGGTAGGAGAAAAGGTAACATTTTCTAAAAAATGAGTAGTATGAATCCTGATAAAAATGAAAAAACTAACAAAATATTGAAGAAGGCAGTACGTGGAAAGAGCAGCTGAGATTAAATTTGGCAAAGAGGTGACTAAGATAATTGGCAGATAATGCACAAACCTCGAAATCTGTATCCATTTCTGCTGTAATTCGATCCTACACTTGGTTGCAGAAAAACACAAGAGGGTTGTAATGTGATCATCAGGAAGCTTCAAAGACGGTTTCTCGAGGCTTCAAAATGGTACCGCGAGCAACCTGAAGTAGTTGACCTTGCTCGAAATTCTCCACGTCTACTTTCGGAATTAAAAGTATTCGACGAACCGCACAGAAACTGAACTTTTTCCAGCATGGCAGCTTTCAAGTTCAACCAATACCACAACACAACTTTCCACTACTGCCATGCCATGTGATTCAGGAATGCGGCTTGCCAAGTTTTCAACAGCTGAATTTGTTTCACATATTTGAAAATTTCCCTCTGATCACCGTTAAAAATGCCAATTAAAATAAATGAATAAATATAATGATTACTTGCGATAAAGAAAAAACATTTTTATGCTTCCAAGTGTGATTAAGTTTTACAAAAAAGTTCTACCCGGCAACGGTGGTTTGCAATGTTTACATCGCATTGTTTTGATTCCGTTATCAAATCAGTCGTTACCTCAGCAGATCTTGCCAAAGTCCTCGAAAAGTGATTATCATTGCTAGTATACTAGTTCATTTTAAACAGTTGAAGATGATTTTGGAAGATGAAACCTCGGTCCATCTAATGTAGTTTTCAGTTTTGCAACTCTCCGAAAAGTCACCTTCACCTTGTCAGAAATTTTCCCTCTGTGAGAACTTAACACTGTGTTTTCAAGTACTTTCTGTGTGTTCTGTGACCTTTGTCAGCCGAAAAATCACAAAATGATGCCCTATTCATACATCAAGATGCCGCTTCGAACTGCTTCTGCCTTAGCATTCACTTCTGCATTTTCAGTAGGAGCATTAATGTTCATGAAGTTCCGCACGCGCAAAAAACTTGTGCACCCAGACCGGTATGTTGTGCTTATATCGGGCTGTGATACAGGTTTAGGTTTCTCACTGGCTTCCCATTGTCAAGAGCTGGGTTTATCAGTATTAGCAGGATGCCTTGATAAAAATAGTGAAGGTGCTGTCAGCCTTCAAGAACGTGGGGCTCACCTAATTGAACTTGACTTCACTGACTACCGTACTATTCAGAATGCCTTGGAGGAAACAAAGCAGTACTTACAACTGCATCCTGAAAAAGGTTTGTTTGCATTTCTATTTTCTTTTTGTTCAGATTCTATTTGTTTTTCTGCTTTTATTATAAAAACACACCTCATCATATGTCGCCTCCGGCTCTGCGATATGCTACAGGCCAAACCATGTGCATTCTGATGACATCACTTGATTTCATTACCTAAAAAAAATCATGTGCAGTTCACTAGAGACTGTGCTGAGGAAAAACAATGGTATCAACAAATTAAAATTTTTTGAGTTGCGCAAGCTCCTTATTCAAATTTTAGATGGTTTTCAGTGTTCTTTTTGTTCCTAGAAAATGGTTTGATTAGTTCTGGTTCTTCGGCATAAACTGAAAAACACTGGCATCCCCGAAAGTAAATTCCAAAGGATTCTTGCAGCAGAATCACTGTAAAAGATACTAGAAAAAATTACCTATTTTGAACAAAAAATGCTGTACTCATTCTCCTTCAGGAGCGCCTGTGAAACCAGAACCTTAATTCATAATGGCATTCATTATAGGTAGCTATTTGAGAATAATTGCTGTCTTTAATTTTTTGTTGGCAATGCTTCAAATTCAGTGTTTCAGTTCAGCTTACCTCTCTTCATATATTGTAATGACAACTGAGGATACAGAAAACATTCACTCACTTTTTGGTCCTCGCTTCTCAAACCCGCTTTAATATTTTGACTTGCGTATCAGCTAATGTTTCACACAGGCTTATTGTTCCTGGCAATATTACCTTTTTTATTCCATCCCAAACTTACAGCTCTGTGATCATGTACTTAGTATGACTTAGTACGGCATAAAAGTTGAAATCAGAACTATCCTTGAAAATTTAACGTAAAAAATTGGATGAAATGAAGATAACCTTGTAGAAAAAAGCGTTTTAACCACTGAATATTGAATAGTTTACAGTGAATCCTTGAGCGTGGAGTTTTTTCCCAAAGTGATTGAGCTCCTCCCTCCTAACACAAAACAATCAATTTCTAGAAAATACATTTTTCACATCAATACATCTTGTGCTCAGTTAGTTTTAATTAGTTATCTTTTATTTTCCCCTAGAACTTGGAGCTGTCGTCAATAATGCTGCCGTCATGTGTTTTGGCGAGTTTGAATGGTTGACAAAGGATATTATTGACCATCAAATCCAAGTCAATTTTACTGGCACACTCCACTTCACAAACACATTCTGTTCCCTAGTTCGAGAATCAAAAGGTAACAAAATGCAATATGTTTGATATGGTTAAAATTTGTCCACCAAAATGAGATGGAATGACACAAAATACACCAATAATTTTTATCTAAATCCCATTTACAATGCTCAACTATCAGTACCTACCTAGTTAAACACTATTTACTACTTATGAGGATTTCTTAGTTTACATTTACTGTAACAGTTGGATCCGAGGAAGTCCAAGTGGAGGCCAATCTGATGATCTTTTTTAGTTTTTGATTAACTGAACCCTTGGAGCTCCTAAAAAGCATATTGCTGGTAAAACCGGAGGAATGTCTATCTTGGTACGGCGTTTCAAAATCTCCACTCCCGTTTTATTCATCCAAGAAGAACAAACCACTGCTATTCTTTGAAATTTTCGTACCTATATTATTCTTCACACACAGAGGAAATAATCAGGAAAGTTCTCAAGAAACACGGAAAAAAATTAAATGTTGATTTAGCATTTATACTGTTAAAAAGATGTCTGACAAGTTTCAAATGCTGATTTTACATTACAAAAATGCTAACATAACATTTAAATTTGTTCGTTTTGCAGTGGGAGTAGTTACGTTAGCATTTGTAAAAATGTAAAATCAGCATTTGAAACTTGTCGGACATCTTTTTAACAGTATAAATGCTAAATCAACATTTAATTTTGTTCCGTGAATGACAGTGAGTATTTTTCATTTGAAAAATAAAGTATTACAGGAGGTCAACACCGTCACAAACCAAGATACAAGTTCCTACAATTTCACGGTTGATATCTAGATGCTATTTTCCTCAATATTTTTCCATTAAAGGAAGTACCTTCAGTCGGAGATACCGACAAAGTTGTGGTTTGCTCCAAAAATAGTGTAAGTAGGCATTTCCTTTGAATGGGCACTTTTAGATTTTATGAATGAGACTCAGAAGTACCTATGCATAGTCTACCGGGGTTTGCCTCACTCCAAACATTATTTCGAAACCAATTACCTACTTAACGAAAATACTAATTTTTGTTGTGGATTTTATTTTCAAGTTACTTACTTCTGAAATATTTTCATGTTATTTTAGGTAGAATAATTAACATCACAAGTCATTGTGCTGATGCTTGCTTACCTGGGTTGTCGGTTTATGGCGCTACTAAGGCTGCTCTGAAAGCGTGGAATGATGCTCTAAGAATTGAACTAAGCAAATTTGATGTTCGTGTCATATCATTTTTACCCGGTGAGTTTAGTTGCAATTTGTTTGCTGTAACAATCACAATAATTGAATCGACATATGCAAAAACATCCATTGTCCAATTCAGGGTTTCATAATTGCAGTGGGTTCCTTTTGTCCCAAGACACTGACGAATAGGATCGGTCTCTTCTGTAAATGTTCCATTACACTTAGGGGATTATTTATAAAATTGTTCTACATTTCTAAAGTCTTAAACCATCTTGTGTCGTTAAGTTAAAACGAAATTGTTCACTCAAATTCTGAAACACTGTCTTGGACATCGGACGTTTTCGCATACGTCGATTCAATTATGCAACAGTGTGGTGTTAAAGTTCGGACAATGTCACCAAAAGTTAGTTGGCAAGCCTAAGGGTATTTTTTATGTATGAGTTTATGAAAGGACTTCCAAATATGCTCTCTTAGATGTAAAATTAAACCTCTCTTTTGAAAAATTTGAATTTTCACCCAGTACTCTTAAAGACGAAAAGGTGTATGTAGGTAGTACAAAAATTGTTTTCATTGACTCCAGATATCAGAGTTTAAAACCTATTCAGTCATTTAGGCCTTTCAGTTTTATCAAGACAACAAGAATTAAAGAAAAAAATATTTGAAAAGGGCAATCAAGGAGATCAAGGAAAATTTTGCACTGTGTCTCAAAATACTATTTTCAACAGATCTCTTGCAAAAAAAATTCTGCCCCATACTTCAAGTGTAAGGGATCAGGAGCTTTTTCCTTGCACAAAATTTGTTAAAAATATGACCACTAGCTATTGATAAAACACTTAAAATATTAATGAATTTCCATGTGAATGTTGAAGTGAAGTGTTGAAAGACTACATCATTCTTCACCCTACAAGTGACTTAACATTACTGAGTTATAATAATAATTAATTTAACAAGCTATTAATTTTTCTCTTACATTTTGCAGGTGCCTTTTTTGGACAGAGCAATATTCTTGCCAATCAAAGAGAGAGAACTGCGGAGATGGAGGCCAACATGCCGAAAAAAGACCTCCAAATTTATGAAGATTATTTTAAGAGGTAAGTATTGTACCTAATAATGGAAATTTTTTATCATTGCAATACCAATCTGTGATAAAAGAGCGATGCTATTTTTCAAATCCCCTCTTCCTTTACTGCCGTGCTAAGGAAGAACGCCGTATGAACATTCGAGAGCTGCCAAATTTCCGCGGATAAAACATGTATTTTTAATGATATTTATGCTTATTTTTCCTTGAAATTTTAAGATACTTTAGATTACGTTGCGAACAAAATAGTCTGAAAAATTGGAAGAAAAATATTCCCAATTTCCCCAATGAATTCGTACTTCATCAGAGGAAATTTGGCAACGCCTGAAGGTTCATACGGCGTTTTCCCTCAGCATGGCAGCATAGTACATAGAGTACTTTTGTATGTCTCAGTAATGAAGTGCAATGCTGTTTGAAACCCATTTTAAATTAATTTTAACCACCCCCCCCCCCCCACAAAATGTATGGATAACCGACAATAGAATGTAAGGCTGCTTGGAAGCTCCTTTTTCGTTGGACTGAAGGCAGGTGGATCAGTTTGTAATGCAAAAAAAAACATGAGGCCCCTTGTGAAAATTCAAAAAGTAACAATTCCGTTGTAAGCGCATTTTCGCTTTTTTGCTCTCAATCATATTGACTTGTGACGAGCTGGTCGACGGTTTTGTATCCTATGTGGAGCCACCTATGGGCTATTTTAGTGCCCTCTGTCTTATGAACTTTGGTATCTACTTCAAAAAGGCATTCTGGCAAAGAATAAGGAGGAAGACATCAATCTAATCGCAAGGGTTGAAAGTGAATCCATCCGTCGAATTCTGGTGAGCGTTTTCAACCAAATTATTGCTTGTAACTTACTCCGAATTTATCAAATTTCATTCTGTCTACCTACACAAAATGCTGGTGAAACTGCAAAATTGTGAATCTTAGTTTGCAAAACTGCAGAGTTCCTCTCCTAGTTTATTTTTAAAAGGAGAATGGGAAACTTTCCCAACGTTTTGCCTTGTGTGAAGAACACTCTGTGGAAATTTTAAGCAAATTTTAATCTATTTCGATGAAGTGAAATCAGAGTAGGTAGAGATATTGAAACACTGCAAACAAGATTCGTATTCTTGCTGTTTCATCATCGATATACTGAGGACACTGTATGGAACAAATATAAAATTGTGTTATTCTGTTAAAAAACAAGACATTAGCTCACAAGGGGAGCTTCCCAAGTGTAACCGGAATTTCGAGTTGAAATTTCGCATGAAGATACTAGAGATGATTTTAGGGATGCCGTATTTTTTCGTTTTTTCGAATGGGGTCGGGAAAGCCCTCAAAAAAAGGGCTAAAGATGCGGAAAAAACGCGTGCGCCAACGGCACAAGGTAAAGATAGGTGATAGAGGCACACAATCATTATCAGTACCGCATGGCCGAACGGTAGCGCGCTCGCTTCGCATGCGTGAGGTCTTAGGATCGGATCCTGATTACGGTGCGAAATTTTATTTTACTTTATGCTTGTATATTTTTCACTTACTTTATTTTGCACCATTCGCTCCGCAAACCGACTTACGAGGTAGAACACGTAGTGACTGAAGATTTTTTACATATGCTGATAAAAACTCGAAGTTTCTCTTGGATTGAAACGTTATATATAATTGAAAAAACAAAACGCTCTAAAACTCACCAAATTTCGTTGCCAAGCTGAATTTCCGGAGTATCAGTCGAATCTGTATCTGTATCTGACTGATACTCCAGAAATTTAGCTTGGCAACGAAATTTGGTGAGTTTTAGAGTGTATTGTTTATTCAATTATATATAATGTTTCAATCCAAGTGAAACTTCGAGTTTTTATCAGCATATGTAAAAAATCTTCAGTCACTACGTGTTCTACCTCGTAAGTCGGTTTGCGGAGCGAATGGTGCAAAATAAAGTAAGTGAAAAATATACAAGCATAAAGTAAAATAAAATTTCGCACCGTAATCAGGATCCGATCCTAAGACCTCACGCATGCGAAGCGAGCGCGCTACCGTTCGGCCATGCGGTACTGATAATGATTGTGTGCCTCTATCACCTATCTTTACCTTGTGCCGTTGGCGCACGCGTTTTTTCCGCATCTTTAGCCCTTTTTTTGAGGGCTTTCCCGACCCCATTCGAAAAAACGAAAAAATACGGCATCCCTAAAATCATCTCTAGTATCTTCATGCGAAATTTCAACTCGAAATTCCGGTTACACTTGGGAAGCTCCCCTTGTCAGATTGTTTGTTTGGCTTCCTAACTCACTTTTAATTTTTTCAAATTTTTCAGGTATTTCAACTATATCCATTCCTTCTCGTTAAAAGTGCCTGCACGACAGATAGAAAATGAAGAAATCTACGAAAAATTTACGGATGCGTTACTTGCTGAGAACCCTTACCCGCATTACAAAATTAGTCCTTTTAAGTACTCGTTCTATCATTTCTTGTTCAAAGTTGTGCCAACAAAAGTTAAAGACAAACTTGTAGAAAGATTTATCAATATGCCTCGATGGAATAAATAATTTTTTTTTCATTTGTTGTAATTCAGAGAATCAAGACTGAAAAAAATTTAGGCAGTGCATCTTGCCCAAAAGATAATGCTAATAGTTAAGGAGCACTTTGTATCTTTTATTCCAAAAATCTTGTAATTTATAGTTATGCCCCAAATTCTGTTGGTTGTGGCTGATTAGTTCTTATGGCCATAAGCAGGGGTGCAGGAACTTCCCGACCTGGCAACTGGCAGTTTCCCATCAGTTGCGCTTGAAAATGGGAAGGCCTCAGAGAATTTATGTACAACTATCCAGAAAAGCTTTCTCCAAATTACTCAAAGCCAGACCAAAAAATTTCAGTCGCGTCATTTTTTCTGTTGAGATTAAGTTTTTAAATTGTAGATCCAAATCTACTCAGTGAGCTATTATCTCAGATTACGTTCTCAAGACTAAAGATCAATCCTTTTGTTGAAGGGCTTCATCACTATTTCGAACTCCTTAACAATTTAATGCTTTCTTTCATTTATGTCCTGATCATGAGGCCTGCACCAGTTGTAAATTGATGGCGATTAAGTGCTAATTTGTGGCTTTTAATACTTTATACCCTAATTGTAGAGCTTTTCTGAACCATCCACCAGAGTTTGTCTGTTGTTTGTGTGTTTTCCCAGCATTGTAGGAACATGCATTTAAAAATTATTAGCACAGAATGTGATCAGAATCTTGTCCTCTTGTGCAAAACAGCAGCATCATAACTAAATTAAGTTACCAAACCACAATTGAACTTGTGTAAATTATTTCATAAATTTTCACATCACAGATTTCTCGTTACTCATCAATTTACCCTGTTGTTTTTAGAAAAAATCCCTTGTGTATTATTTTTATCCACCATGATTAGGTAACGATTTTTTAATGGAATAGTATGATTTCCCCATAACGGTTGCCCATAATTCTTAGCAATTAAAAAAAAAAAAAACCAATTGAAAATTGAGGTGATTAATCAGGAAAAATATGTATAGTGTCACAGACTTTGTACCTACAAATCCTGAAAAATAATGATTTGAGAACCAGGCTAGTGTTGTCAACGCTGATTTTGAAGTAAAAGGGTAACCCTTGGCGATTAATTAGTATTGTTTAAGGTTGTATCGACGGTAGTTTCTTGGTGAGGCTTCCGATGTTTACGAATATTGCCTTTTTGAAGAAAAAACATAAGAAAGAAGTAATCTTGAGATAGTTATATTTAGCTCTAATTTGTGAGCCCTTTAAATCTTCGATTTAATTTAAATCAACTTAGAGAAAATCCCCAAAATTATGAAAAAATTTCCAAGCAGCTTTGAAAAATGTTCTCCACCTAGGTACCTCAAGGATTGCCATTTTTCATCTTTTCCAACATCTTTTTCCCCCCTTTTTAGAGTTTTACCTAAATGACAGTAACAGAAACAGCTTAGTAGGTACAGTCGTTCAGAACCAAATCGCTCAATTGAAGCAGCCAGTTTTGGTGGAGTGACCAGAGTTGAGTCGCTTGGAGGACAAGGCGCATAAGTGCAGTTTTTGCCATTTCGAGAAATATGTGTTTAAAGTTTCGAAATCACATGGATCCTTATGGCCAAGAGAAAGTTCAAACTGACTTATTGTTGCTTAAAAATTGAAATTTGGCAAAAAAATTTTCCACATAAAGTGCATTATTAAGACTTGTTTTACTTGAAGCATTAACATCTCAATTTTTTCAAACACTGCTTTTATTTGTCTACGTCCTCCAAGCCCCTCAGTTCTCCTTTTTCATGAAAAATGAAATCGTGAAATTTTGTGAGAAACATTTCGTGCAACTCCATGAAAGATTTGAAATGCACAAAAAATACGATTCTGCACCTAATTTTGTAACACAACCGAGGAATTTAATGATGGAAAATTAATTTTAACACCTGCATCAGAGATCAGATCATCTCCAAAAATCATGAAAATATACCTAAAGCAGATTCAAATTGATGACCATCAGTTCAAAAGAGAATTTTTCAATTCTGTTTATTTTTCCATCGGTCTTCTGCCCCAAGAGCAAATTGCGCGATCTCTGATATATATTGGAGCAACTCTGACTTAAAGCAATTTAAGTGCAAGATAAAATACCTAATAAGATTTTAATTAATTTGACATATTTGAATGTGGGTTGCATACGAAGCTTCTTTAATTATATTCTATAATTTTGAAATATTTATCGGCCTCGTGGAATTCCATTTGAAATTTCAGCAAAATAATTTTTTTAAAGAAAAATTTATTAGAGATCTGGTTTACATTTATGTTCTACACTTTTTTTCTTCCACGCCGTTTGACCTCGTAGCAGCTAAAGATGTTGGGAAAAATGTGCCCTTTACTGGCGTGATAGCGAAGAGAGCAGTGAGTGCATGCTGGGATGAACCTGGAGACACATATTATAAGCATGCACCGACTGCTCTCTTTGCTATCACAGCAGCCTTTAAAGTCAAAGCTTTTATGGGGGAGTTACAAGCTTTCAATAATGAAATACGAGCCCTACTCTTAAATCAGGAGAAGAATAATGTCTGTAAAAGAAAAAAAGAAATGTCTAATTTTATTTTTGATTGGCGAGTCTTTTCCGTCTCTGCCACCCAGCTGCTGAATCGGAAATCGATATCTTTTTGAAATTGCCGCCTTTTTGACTCGAAACCATCTTTAGCCAATCATAATCTCTGGTTTGGAATATGCCGAAAAATGGAAAATGAACCTAAATGAACCAAGAAGGAGCACGCTGGTTCACTTTCACGGTTCCTAACCTCTAAGTTTGTTTGCAAAAAAGTTGCAAAGCGACGTGACGTGCGAGTGGACTTTCCGTGTGGCTGGCCACCCTTTTTGGCAATTTTCCTCTTTTCTCTTAAGTAGTAGGTCTAATATAGCATCATGTAAGTAATTTTTTAGTGCATTTTGAATCTAAAGCGTTGAAAGTTTGACGAACCCATCTTCTAATCTATCGCCCCGCCACGCCACCCGTTAGCACGTGCATGCCCGCGTGCTAAGTGTTAAACCCATCTGATTTTGTGTTTTCTCATTTAAGTAGTTGCCACTATATATCTGTTTTCCATCTCCAACTGGTCTTTTCCTATTGTTGGGGCTAAATTACATACCCTCTTCAAGTTGGATTGTCATGTCGTAACAGTGCGGGGACTACCCGATAGGCCTACTCTGAATGGCGCCATTACACCTTGCAGATAGTTGTTAACCCATCAATAAATAAAAATAAAAAAATAGCAGTGAGTCACTGCTTTCATCTCATTCATGTTTTTTCGTTCTTTATCTAATTTTCTGAAAGTGATTGGTCACGGTTTTTGTCCTGGCCGAACTGGCCTGTGGTACATTGCACCGATTACGTTCAAAATCTTAGCGGATTTCGAATGTTTAGCCACAACAAGGACAAGAGTCCTTGTGCATGAGTCTCCAGAATCATTCTAATCTGCAAAATTGGCATACTTATATTGGAGGAGTCGAAACAGAACATTGCTTGGCGAAAGACCTCGCTTTCGATTCAATCATCAAATGCGAGGCTTTTTTCCAAACAAAATAGTCGTATTTTGTTTGACGAATCAATTCGGAACATTTCATGAGAACCGTATTTTGTTCGGATGGTTTTATGTTAAGGGGTATGGCTAATTATTTTTTTTTTTGTTTTTCATAATTTGACAACGATTCTGGAATTTAGTTTCAAAGCAAATTAAAAGTTCTCCATGCTTGTTTCGGCAAGGTTGAAACAGGATTCTCACTCTTGGCAGCTCCACTCTCATTGGCTGCGAAAAAAAGTGATGCTAAGAACAGGTAACATGTTTCGTCCCCCTCTGTGCTGGAGGCCGGGGCCTTAAAACTGGTCCCGAGGCCCGAGATAGGTTGTGGTGGGCCTGCAGGGGAGTAATGTTCATTTCCTCCCAATGGTTCCATCAAACATACCTGTTTGCATTTTTTAATCCTTATTTTATCTCTCCACAGGTCCAAAGTTTCAAGGGATATGTTAAATGAGGCTGTCGCGGCAGTCCTCAAAGTCTCTAAAGATCCAGCAAAGAAAAGGAGATTCTTGGAAACCGTCGAGCTTCAGATTGGATTGAAGAACTATGACCCCCAGAAGGATAAGCGTTTCTCCGGAACAGTGAAGTATGTCACCTCAATATCATGACCTATTTTCACAGCTTCACCAAAGATTTGCCTAAAAATCAAGTTCTTGCCGAAGCAGAAGTTGTTTCTGGTATTTATTTAGCCTTTAGACCAATCTCATTCTCACTCACTGGTGCCCCAAAACATCAGGAACTAAGAGAAAGTAGCTATTTTTAGCTTCATATTTGTCGTACTTACTGATCTGAGCGTAATGTGGCGGGGAGACAATTTGATATGATTTTGAAAAGCGTTCTTAGAATTTTTAAAGTCACTTTGGTGGGCCTGTGATTCTAGGGAGCTGAGCAAGATTCGGCGGACCTTCACCCAAGGTCTTAAAATAATTGGGGAGGTTTGTAAGTTTACTAACCGTTAGTTGTACTTCAGTTGTGGCTGCTTTTGGTAAGTATGATTTGAATACTAGTGTTCTTAGTTGAGTTTTTTCTTGAAACTAATTGATTTTCATAGCCATTTAATGTGTAGTTGCAATTAAACAAGGCAGAGAAATGGTGCTGGGTCCACAGGGAAAACAAAGCCCAAAAGTTTCATAAATTTCAATTAGTGTTTTTTCTTGTTGCCATTGAAGCAATCTCAATGCCTCACTCAAGCCCAATAGTCCAATGACCTTTTCAACCCAGCCTGTCTAAATTTTGAAGAAAACTGGACGGTAGGACGAAGAAACAAGCTTTCTATATTCTTTGCTGCATAAAATCACCGCTGAATCTATTCTTTTGACTTGCTTTGATTCATGTAAAGAGCCCCTGCAAGTCAGTTCTCGCTGAGAACAAGATCATGTGAAGGAACTGTGCTTTCATTCCCTAGGATTCAAGGCCATATTCTTGAGGAGTTTTAAATGGACCGAGTTTAACAGAAAGGAACCAAGCCACATCAGCTTGCCAAGTTAAACTGGGCAATTAAATTTTTTATGAGATAACGTTGGTTTGGATTACTTTGAAAATTTAAGGAACTTGCTTCGTACCATGGGGAATTTTCACTAAAATTTGCACGAAAATCCGCACAACCGTTTTCATGTAAAAAATTAAAATGCCCAATTAAATTTTGCAATAGCTGATGTGGCTTGGTTCCTTTCTGTTTAACGTGGTCCAAATAATATGCAGTAGCTAGGATAAATTCCCTATGTCTGAAAGAATTATTCGTGTTCAATCTCTGATTGAGGTATATCGTTGTGGCTTTCCTATGATGATTTTTTACGGATCGTATTAGACTTTTCTCTGATTCATCTTATTAACCTGAGGAAATGTAATTTATGATACAGCTTTAGGTACCACAACTTGCAACTTAATATCTATCTAATGACTATTTCGTTTGCCGTGATGAACACAATTTGGCATGTATTACCTGATATGTTTGATGCAACTCTTAGCTGAGCCAACGAAAGTCATTTCTCTCTGTGTTGACCTTCTTCTGTAGCTCTTGTATAATCAGTCTTCCGGCCAATGTAGACCAAAAATTTTTCTCTTTGAGTCTCATTTAACTGTCCTGGCCTAGTCCTGAGCTTAATAGTAGAAGTTTCTCTTTTCAGACTGAAGTACATCCCTCGACCAAAAATGCAAGTCTGTATTCTTGGTGATGCTCAACATTGTGACGAAGCTAAAGCCAACAACATCCCATTCATGGATGTGGAAGCCTTGAAAAAACTAAACAAAAACAAGAAGCTTGTCAAGAAATTAGGTAATTTTAAGCTTTGAACTGTGGTCCTTTTTAGATAGGTTCAGATTTTTTTATGCAAGGAACCGTCTCTTTCATTTTTTTTTTACTTCATTCACTACATTCTAGCTCCCTCCTCATCTTTGTCAGCTTTTCGTAACGATTGAAGCGTTTATTTCGAAAAGATGATAAGTCGGACTTTATTCCAAATAGAGTTTTTGACAGAACAGTAATCCTTAGAGGTACAGGTAGATGAATCTACACCCAAGAGGATATTTTGAAATAGTGATCGGAAGTGTTTCAAGTAAAAATACCCATCAGGTGTTCATTTCGAGAAAGTGCTAACTCATCTTCAACACATTATGCTTCTGTTCTTCATTTTGAAACAAAATTCCAGCACCTCAATCTAAAATTCTTTAATGAGTCGAAAGTTCTTGTTGACTTCTTTGACAATAAATTGAATAATTCTATTTTTATTCAAACTTTCTTGTTTATTTGTTTTTTAGAGCTAAGTTTATTTTTTAAGAAATAAATTATGCTTGTACATTTTCTTCATTTGAGAAAAAATTACAGCTTCTAATCTTGCTTATTTCGAAAAGGTGCCAACTCGGTACGTCCAACATCTAGTTTTTACAGCGAAAAAATGTAGTGAACGTCCTGCAACTTTCGCGTCAACCAAGTCTCTTTATGATAGACCTTAATCACCCAGAGCCTTTTCATCGTTCAAATTTTTCTCCCCCTGTGCAGCTTTTCTTGTCTCCTGAAAAATGTCGTTTTTCAGAGTCGGCATTTTCTGAAATGAATGCTTTAATTTTGCCGGAAAATCTTTCTCTGTTGCTATCTCTAATCTCTCCATATTTTTTTTGCAGCCAAGAAGTATGACGCTTTTTTGGCCAGTGATGCGCTGATCAAACAGATTCCTCGTCTGTTGGGGCCTGGTCTGAACAAAGCTGGTAAATTCCCTGGTCTCCTGTCTCACACTGAGTCCATGATGCAGAAGATAGATGAAGTCAAATCCACCATCAAATTCCAGATGAAAAAGGTAAGTTTGTTACATCCGAGGAATCTTTGATTTGAAATTTATATCTCTCGTAATCAGTATTTTAATTTGTAAGAGACATCTAAAAATTGTCTAGGAGCCTCGGAGTTTTCTTATATTGGTGTCTAATTGACTCAGTGAAAATGGAAATAAACCAACTCCCTAAAATGAAAATGTTTCAGACTCAAAGAACAGGGCTGTAGATTGAAAAGTTTGGTGAAGGAAAAGCTCTTTGGTGTCAGAGATCATACCAACGTATCAAGCAGCAGGAAATGAATTTTAAAAATTTCGAATGAAACCAGTTGTCTATATTACTCACCTCTTAATTTTTTTTAAATTTTATCTTTCAGGTTTTGTGTCTGAGTGTTGCTGTTGGTAACGTAGGCATGACCCAAGATGAACTTGTACAAAACGTCCACCTGTCAGTCAACTTCTTAGTATCGCTTTTGAAGAAGCACTGGCAAAATGTCAGGTCACTCCACGTCAAGTCTACCATGGGACCTCCCCAAAGACTGTACTAAATTTTCACCTGTTAGACTAGTTTTTTAATAAATGTTTTGACTTTTAACTTCCTAAGCTATTATTCAAACCAACCAACCCTTCTCTCAGTTAATACCTTTGTTTCTGTAATTGGACTTATTTCTATCAAACAGAACTATGTGCTTTATGACGTTAGTCCTGTCATGCATCTACTCTTATGGGTCTCAGGGCTCATGTCCTAATGCACATGGTTCAGTTTGGCAGAAATACGTCCAATTGATTAAATAGATCGGACCATCCACTGAAATAGGAACCTTAGTGCTGAAAACATTTTTGAAGAGAGAAATATTCATATCTAAATCAATTTGAACGGAAGTTTAGTTTGAAGCTTGAAAAATGTTAAGTTGAAAGAGAGACAAGTCCCGGAGATGGAAAATGATACTATGGAGACCCTACAAGCGGTTGAAATGCTAGTCTTATATATTCCTAAAACCATTGTCCACTGACTCAATGTGTAAGAGAGTCATCATACTGCTATCTCTCTCTTACACATTGAGTCAATGGACAAAGTCCGTTATCGTAGTTTCAGGTTTAAATATACAATGAATTTTAACAAATTAGATGTGATTCTACTCAGTATTATTGCTGCCACACATTATGGATCAGTTTCTTGCGTTAACTTATACATAATGATAATTATTGCCTCTCAAAGACACAAACCGCCTAGCAGTGCTATACAGTGGTAAATATCGTCCCTAGATCGCATAGAATCATCTTAATGGGCATTTTCTTGTCGATCGATTGTAAAATGATCTATACAGTGGTGCCAATACCTCTATTTTGAGCACAAGTCCCAAGGTTCCTCTTCCGGTGGACGGTTGCAAACAGTGTTTTTCCTTCAGCAATAACGAGGGTAGTGAGGAAATAGTTTGAAAATTACATGATAGGAATTTACACAGGGCATCAACCAATTGCTGATAAGCTTCACAAAAGCTTATCTCACAATTTTACTAACAGTGAAAGGTAGATTGGTTAGAACATGGATCGTGGCAGCTGAGTCAAGCTGGCTGTAAGTGCGCTGATTAACTCGATTCCGAAGTAACGGAAGCAACACTCTACTGACAATCTTGGTATTTTTTTTAGCTGAAATTGATCATGATGCTGATTGATTGCAGTCTATATTAAACTGAACATTCGCCATAGTTCATAAAACAGTTACAAGGTACTGATTCTCACAAATGAATAAACATGAGGGTTCTTTTTAGTTTTTATTTTGTTACACAATCCAAATCTACATCGAAATAAAGTTTTACAAACTTAAAATTTACTACGAAGTACAATTGTAAGTTGAACTTACAAATCTTAAGTCTATTTCTGCTGATGGCATGACTTCTCAAGTCATTAGGATTTTCTCGATGAGGTAATGTGTATTGGCAGTCGAACTAAAGAACTTCGCCACTCCATCTATCAGCTATTTTAGAATCTGCCTTAGGCCCACATTAACACATTTTTATCACTTTTCGATGCTAAATTATAAAGATTTCAAGGAACATTACCAGATAATACGGTTGATACACATCTACGTAACTGGAGGGGTTAAAAAAATAAACTTCTGATAAAGAGACAATAAAACCTTAGGAGCGATGCAGTTATAAGGAAAACGGTTTATCCTTTCAGCCCTTGAAAGGTGAGAGATTCACAGACAAAATTATAACAGAAAAACACTGTTTAGAAGAAGAGGAAATCAATTGAACGCCATGATAGAAAAATATACTTTGTAAACACACGTTAAAACAGTTAATAATAAAATAAAAATTAGGAAGGCTTGATTACTGCACTGAAACAACAAAAATATACTTGTTTGGTCTGGGAATACAGGGCAGATATACGGTAAGTTTTAAAGCACCTGATATTCTTATTCATGAAAGAGGGCAGTTTGTTCGATAGTCAAACTACGAGAAACTATAGATTTAAAATTCAAATGAATAAAAAAAAGGAAATGCATTTTCCATTCAGCGTTTCAGAGTAAATTGTATACCACCATGACTTGTTTTAAATAGGTAACTGATTTTATTGACTTCCAAAACTCAAGCTGCTCTGTCATACAAGGTGTCACATTTCATTATAATGTGAAATAATGATCGGCGAATTCGAAATTCAAAGACATTTGAATATGATAAAAATGAAATAAAAACAAAAGCCTCACACTTGGATATGAAATTGAACTTACTTAACCCTCCTGTCCCACCATAGCTAGTAAGAAGTCTTGTTTGTAGAAAGAAGGGGGGGGGGGCTGAAATTCTACAAAGTCCTCTCAAATTAATAACTAGCAACATATGGCCTCTTCTTACGCTCATACTTAACACATTTTATATTAGTTGCAATTTTTTGACAGGAAAAATACAATTTTCTCTCAACACTATTTACTTTCATTTTGCGTTCTACAAGCCACCATCCTCTTAACTTGATTAGAAAAGCTAATGCAAGTGGACTCGGTAATCCAAAGCAGCCCCCGATGAGACATCGATCACATTACATCACTTTTATGAATGAATAGATCAATGAGAGTAAAGTTTGTCGATTGAATCCACAAACTGGCACACTCATGAATTTCACAACTTCTGAGTGGTTATTGTTTGTTTCTGAATTTGCTGAGGAAAATCCAGCTCAGCTGGAAAATTCTCCCACTGAGGTAGTTTACTGAACGGCAACTGGTGGACTGGAACTAGGATCCGCTTTGTTGAGAATGTCCGTGTAGAATTCACCAAAGACTTTTCGGTTGTGGGAGACCAACCTAAGAAATCGACCGGCCAGCTGCGCTAGTTCAGCTTGGAAGGACGTCAATCCGGGTGGAACTTGCGTTGGTGTTGCTGTTGAGGAACTAATGATTAACTTCAAGAAGTCGCTTACTCTTTTAACTGCAAAAGAAATCAAAAAATCAACAGTGTAAACAGCTGAAAGGACCGATCTAATGAAAAACATCAATGCACAAACTTCCTAAACACCAACCATTTTTTGCCGAATGGCTTTTTTGTTTGTTTTGCCTCATGGCCAAAGTTTTGATTCTTTTACTATAAAACAAGGTGACTTTCCTCCTGTTTCCAAATAGATCAGCAAGTTAAAAGAGAGAAGGTCTGCATTTCTGAAAATCACCTTCCAGCCCAAGATTTGCCTCTTCTTTGTTGTGAATCTGGAGATAAATCCAAATCTTCCAGCCATTAAGCATTGCGATTCAATACAGTAGTCAAGAACTTGCGATTATTCTCATCAGGAAAATCAAAAGGTCCTTCGAATCAGGAAGGATGAGGAAAGAGAGGATACAAGTAACTTTTCGAACTATCAAGATCTGGCTTTCTCGCATTAAAGGCAGCAGCAAAAAAAAGCTCTCTGTATGTAAGGAAAAAAGACAAATGCAAATGGAAACTTACAGACTAGTTCTCTGATTTTGTGTTCAGGATTTGCAATCTTCTCAATTTGACCTTCCAAGGCCTTGATGGTGTCGTCACTTAGCTGCTTGCCACCGATCTGGTTTAAAAAATCTTTGCAGTCTTTTATCACTTGTTCAGTAACATTGGGAAGGACAGCTGCCAAATCACTGCGAAAAGAAAAAAAGTTGATGACCATGGTAAAAATTGACAAAAGCTTTCTGGATGCAGTTTTGCGTTCTCTCTCACGATCACTGAAACTTTTGACTAACTGAATTTATTGCGTCGCTGAACATAGGGGCATCCCAATTAGAGATGCCAGTGATTTTCAGTTGCATTTTGCCATGCTTACAGCGAGTTAAACCATGAGATGCCTCTTAGGAAGTTGAGAGAAAATAGAAAGAATAAGCAAAATAAACAAGATAATATACAGAAATATACAGAGAATTAGAATGTCTTTCTGTGAGTCAAAGGTAAATAATGGGAATCATAATTTTTCCTGACAGCACTAGCTATCTTCCTGACATCATGTCTACTGACATGGAAATCTTAGATCGGTTTTGTTAACGAACAAATAAATAATTTATTTGTTAACGGTAGATTTCTTGTTTTGTAATCAGCAGTTCCTTTCGGATTTTTTGCTGATATTTCTATTTATTCATCATTATGGAATTGATCTACTACAGGCTTGTCTTGTTTTGTGACGATCAGATCCAATCTGATTTGACCTGATCTTTGACGTCAGGAAAATATTGGATGGGATCATCTCTCATGAGACAATTGCTCAATAGACACCAGCATTTTCATAAAAGTTTTTGCTGTGAATCATACTTTCTTTTTCAACAAATTACGAGCACTTACGACAATCATTTAAAACAATTTACGGTGATGCCATTTGCTGATTAAAACGCAACAATTAAGAAAATTTGGAACCATATTTTTTGTACAATTCAGAGGAAAAAGAACTGATTCTTACAAAAGATCAGCATACCAAAGCCGATTCGGTTTTAGTGACCTTTTGGACTTGAAGAATCACCGTTACTAATTTTTACTGTTTTTTTTAAAAAAAAAAAAAAAAAAAAATGCTATGTTGGTGAATATGTCATAACTGTTCTGTTAAAAATTAACACAAACCTATCAGATTTAACATCAGCCAATATAGTTTTGATGTGTTCCTTTAGCTTCATTTTATACTCAGCATGAGATTCTAGACCGCATCCAACTGAGCTGATGGTCAGGAGTAGAACCGCCGCTGTCACTGACAGCTGCCGACACTCGTCTTGAATATCAAGGAACCGGTTTTCATCCATCATTAGCGTCTGAAATGTTGAGAAACTCGTTAACTTATTACAAAAGAAAAACTATGAGAGATGCACTACAAAGCTTTCTGTATTACTTACATTTTTCAAAATTTCCCCTGAAAACTCTACAATCTTTACTTTTTTAAGAAGTTAACAATTCTTATGGAATATCTAAAAATCATGATCATGATTAGAGGATTTTTCTACGATGATAATAAGAGATGAGGGAAAAATCAAACGAATCAAATGGTGTTATTTGAAACTAATAAAGAAAAAGGAACAAATCATAATAATACCGCCAAGCTGTGCTGATCTCCTTTAAATCAAGCATTCAAGGCAAAAAAATCTTAAGTAGCATTAAAGTATAAATATGAATTAATAAAAAAATTAATACATGAGGGAAGTCTATGAATTTTGGATCTATAATTTTCATCTTCAGAACAATTAAAAAGAAAAAAAGTAAAAAATAAAAACTACAAACTACACGCTTAAATACATGCCAATGGAAACAATATAATAATAACTAGCTGCTCCGGGCGCCCTACGGGCGCCCTCCACAGCTAGCAATGGTGGTGCAGTAGCTTAATTGGAATTGGAGCAATTAGTTGAATCTATTTAATAATGATGAATAAAATGTCTGTAACAATACGTGTTGATAGCAATACGCAATACTGCAGTTAATAAGTCAGGGTCAGTCAAGCCGCAGAGAAGATGCCAGGATATCAAGAAGCTGTGAAGCGGAGCAGCCGAGGGATGGCGAAGGAATGTGGGTGGCGAGTGACGAACTGACGAACGACGATGCAACCCAAACTTCCCTCTTTGAGGTTGGTGGGAGGAGAGCTATACGAAAGAAAACGGAGATAGCCGAAAGAACGTGGCGGGAGGGGTAGCTGAGCCCGTAGAGGGGGTACCTAGGGACGGGCAAGCAGGTAGCGGCCGGACGACCGCTTGAAACAGCTGAACTTTACTCGTCGATAAAAGTAAGAAAATTTGAGAAAATCGAAAAAACAATTATAGCCTGCAAATCTACCGATCAGAAGCTCTCATTTAAAAAAAACCCCATGCAAATAGGTCCGGTGGTTCTCTCAAAGTTAATGTCCCAAAATGCGGACTTTAGTCTGAATAAATGGGAGAAAATTTGAGCCCAGCTAAACTTCAGTCGTCGATAGAAGTAAGAAAATTTGAGATAATCGGAAAAACGATCACAGCCTACAAATCTACAGATCACAGGCTTTCATTTAAAAAAAAACCCCATGCAAATCGGTCCGGTGGTTCTCTCAAAGTTAACGTCCAAAGATTCGGACCTCCGTTTTAATTCATTGGAGAAAATTTGAGAAAATTATAGGAAAAAATTTGAAAAAATCGGAAAACAAATTACAGCCTGCAAATCTACAGCTCAGGGGCTTTCATTTAAAAAAAAGATCAGGCAAATCGGTCCGGTGGTTCTCTCAAAGTTAATGCCCCAAGATTCGGAACTTCGCATTTTAATATATAGGATAATAAAATTTAAAAAAAAAAAAAGTCTCAGCAACAAACAATGTAAGATATGAAAGAATTTAAAAAAATCACAGAGGTAAAACAGATGGGTCAGGCAAAGAAAAGATAATAATAATAATAATAATAATAATAATAATGATAATGAAACATTGACAGGTGGCTGTTTTCAGTGGCAAGGCGTGGATGATCAATTATCGATATTTTCCCATTTGAAACTACGGTGATTGATTATTAAGGTGTTTGTTGCAAACACCCTGATTATCAATCCTTTCCCCATCGGTTAAAATGGCAGATTAATCGATATATCACAAATCACACCGCGCCACTGGCTGTTTGCCCGCAAAACAGAATCAGGCAAATCAACCTAGACACAACTACAACCATGACCTACGCTTACTTGAACCTTAAACTTGAATAAAATAATAAAATTGGCACAGCTCTATATTATAATTTTATATTATAATTTTGTCATTTTAGTTTATATTATAATTTTGCTCATTTTATTAAACATCAGCTGCATTAGGCGATCTCATTAGTACCTTGAAACTTGCAAGGCATATCAAGATGATGATGAGACTAATGCCACCAAAATGTTTTATCTCTAAAGGGAAGGCGCCAGGAAAAGTTTTGAATATTATACCTCTGGGAAGATGTTATCAGGGTTCCAACACAGAGTCTCCATGTAGGCACGAGTTAAAATGTCATCTTTTGGCTCATCAGGTTTGCTTGGATCAACATGCCTGCTCAACCACTCTCTTGTAGAAAAAAGGCCGTCTGGAACAATCGCAACAGATAAATTAATGAGAATCTTTAGATTAAAACAGCAGGCTCATTGTTGAAGTTGGTAGACAAAGCAATAGACAAAGACAAAAAGGATACGAAAGGATTCTACTGGTGTAAGCGGGTGTTGCAATGGATAAAGAAGGTAGGTAATAGACTAACTTATGGCAACCCATGGCAGACCCTATAGTTAGTCCATCCTTTTCTCCCTTAGTCTATAAGATCCACTCATTTCAACCAATAGGATCGCTTCAAGCTCTTTATGTGTTCTTTGTTTATCGCTTTGTCTATCAATGTCAACAATCAGCCCGTTGTTTGGCTCAAGAAAAGGAAGGTCTCAATCACTCCCACATAGCATTACAAGATAACGAGCTCCGTGGTCTTTGAGAATGATCGTGTTTGAGGCAAAAGTCACAACAATGGAAACCTACTAACATCACTCGCTAATAATACCTATCGATCACTAAATATTGAAGGAGATACAAGGCTTTTATTAGGTGGAGGGAGCAAACATAAAAGAATGTTTTCAAAGAGCAGAATAGACGGAAAAATCAATGCATAGGAATTCATCCGTCTTGTCAAAGTAGCTAAGAGTCCTGAAATAGGTCACTTGAACTGCCTCTTGACAGCTGGTTTCCATTGTACACGAAGGATCTGAATGTTCAGGCTGAGGGAAAATTGAAAAACCTTCCTTAGTGTGCAAGAAAATCAACTGCAAAACTTTTGAAATAAGCCGAGAACATTGTTTCATTTTCGTACATAAGTAGATGCCTTTGCAATTATTTCCAAATTTCTTTTTTAATAAGAAGTAAAGGAATTGTATCATATCATGCAAGAGGCAAAAGATGTTCAGCAAAAATAGAAAATTGACTCGAAAAGAGAACTACCTATTGTTGGGAGTTTTTTTTTTCTTTTTTTTTTTTTTTTAAGGGGTGGACGATTATACAAATTTTTTAAGCTGTTCAACCCTAAGAGGCAATTCTGTTGAATCCTTACTTCAAGCCATTTTCGCTAGCCGATGTGTTTAAAACAATGCAAATAGGACAGGCAAGCTTTAAAATTGCTAATGAGCTGAGTCAATTCACCAACCTGCTTGTACTTTGAGAAATTCTGAGAATTTTTCCTTCTCATACTCAACACTGGACGCTTGAATGTGGGGTTTGAACATTTCGATTGTAAAATTGGCCATATCCAGTTTCATCAGCTCCAAAGTCTGAAAGGAACGTTTAATTACATTAGAAATCACATTAAAGAAAATTACTGGTGACAAGTAATAAAGAAGGAGTGGTCATTACTCTCCAAGTACCTCCGCATAATTTTCAAGAGTGTTTTCAACTCTGAAGAGTGGATCTGAATAGGCAGTAAAACAGACGAATTTCTTAAAGCAACACGGTAAAATAGACGTGTTCATGTTAAAAGAGACTATGTTGCATGTAAAATCTAAACACATAATTCTTTTTAACATAAATATGTACTTAGAGTTGTATCAAAAATGAGGACATGGATGGAGGTAGATCTCAATTTTTATTATTATTTTGAAAGGAGAGAAATTAATATTAGATATTTCCATATTTCTGGATAATATAAACACTTCATTTAGGGGAAGACTGCTGCAAAGTACAAAAGATAAAGACAAAAATTTAGAGGAAGAAGAAGAATTGCAACGCTTGGAAATCCTATAAAATTTCGATTTCAACACCAGAAAAATAAAGAAAAAGTCATTGATCTGATTTTATCATAAGACCTTGACTAATTACTAAATAAACAGACCCAGCTCAGGGTAGCGACAGACAAGTTTATTTTCATCTATTGCACTTTGCAGCATGCTTTTCTAGAATTAAGTAATTAGTTTTCAATGCGTTTTTTGGCTGGTTGAGTTGGCCTCCTTTCTGGATGGTATCCTATCATTTTCAGAAAAATCGAATCAGAAATCACTGTTTGAAAAAATGTAGTCAAAAAGGAAAAAAAAAAATAATTGGACAGCTCATGCCTGGTAGAATTTTACGCACCTCAAGGATTCCTTTGTAAACTTGGACAACTTCTTTCGTTTGAGTCAGCTCCCTGATCTTGTCATCTCGAACTGGCGCGCAGAGCTTCCCCATTACAGAAGTGATATATTGAGCATAGTACTAGAAAAAAAGAAATGTATCATCCCTGTATGAATTCAAAATGAAAAATGAACGTTTTCCGAGATTTGAAAACAGTAGACTTTGAGAGAAACAAGCCTTACCAAGGTGTCTAATTTTTTTTTCACTTCGAAAATCCTGATGTAATCCTGATTTTTCCTGATTTTTAATTGCTGGATCCTGATTTCATAATTTTTCCAAATCCTGATTTCTTGCAGAGAGAAATTAACGGACATATAGCAGATAATTAATGGAAAATAAGTGGACGGCCGACTTTTCTCAAATCCTGATTTACGACAGATTTTTCCTTAAATCCTGATTGATCTCAAATCCTGATAGAATCGGGAAAATCGGAAAAATCCTTATGCTAGACACCCTGCTTACTGAATTGTTTTCAATTTGAATTTGGTTACCAGAATAAAGAAAAGCTGATTTTGAAGTCAATGAAGAATATTTTTAATTGCTCTTCTACAGGAAATCTGACAGCAATGTACAGTTACATTGAATTTGTATCCTTTTGCTCTGCACTGTACAATACATAACGATTAATATCAAATCGCATGCATGTATTTAATATATCAATCTTTCAAGATAGAATACAAAGAAAAAGGTGCTTACCGGGAAATCCAGCGTTTCATTGTCGATTTGCTGTCTGATAAGTTCCATGTCCAAAACCTCTTCAATCTCTTTTTTTAGCTTTGTGTGCTGCGGCAAAAGTAGAGAACTGAGTGTATCCTTAATTTCTTGTAGTAGAGCTAGGGCCTGGGTGTAGACTGGGGGATCAGCATTCAATTCTTGTGACAATAAATCCCAGAATGCTCTATGCATTGTTTCCTTCACTTTTCTCTCAATGCTAAAACAATGATATCACTTATTATTTGTAGAATGGAAATTACACCCAAAATGAACAAATGACATAAAATGAATGAAACGCCAAAAACTACATGTAGTAACTTCATGATGTACATCAAGTGCCTAAAGTAAATTTTAATGCAAATTCCAAGTTATTTATAGGATAAGACTTCACTTGGTAGATTACTTACTCAAAACTTATGCAATAATCATAGAAAATTAAACAATTTTTTTGAGGTGGTTCTTTGGCACTTTTGGAGAGCAATTCGATAGTCGATAGATCAATCAATGATTTCTGAATTGAAATTTCTCAAAAATTTCCAAGCATCACAGCACACAGTAGTGCTTCAGATAATACTGCACTTTGACTCAAAAGGACTTTGAAATAACTCCACAAGCAAGGCCTGAGTAATTATTGCATAAACTCAGCAGCCACAAGTATTCTTTCAATTTCACTATTCCAAGTTTTTATTTGTCGAAAGTCAGGGGGTCTCATAAACGTGTAACATTTTTTGTATGAGATCTACGGGTGAGAGAACGAAAGAATTACTGTAAGAATTTTCTCTCATTATTTTTCGCCCTACAAATCTTACCTATTTTCTGATGGCTCCAGTTTTTTCAGCATGAAGTTTTTATCAACTGCGATTTCGTGTGCTAATGCCATGTTTGTCATTCCATTTGCTGCCTTCATTATTTCTTCCAAAGAAACGAATCTAGGGGGTGAAGCATCTGTAACTCCGGGTATCATGCTTGCACTGATAGTTCTGACCCTGAAATTTACAATGAAAACTTCATCTCGTAAGTTTCGTTTCACATACAAATACAAAATGAAGAGAAAAAGAGTGAGTGAGAGCAGAAGGAAAGCTAAACTTGACAAACAGTAGGCAGCTTTTGAGATTAAGTATTGAATGGACAGAGTTTAGGTAGACAGGGGTACAGAAAATGCATGAGTTTTGGTTGGTGCAAGGGGTAAGAACATTTTCTAATAAAAAGGATTTTTTTTGTTTTTTCCCCCTAAGTGATACCTAAATTAGAAAAAACAAAAAACAAACAAGAGCACAGAGTCTCAATTTTTTTTGGTCATCGGGGACTGTTGACATTTTGACAGGGTAAGGACATTTTTTAAGCCGAGATAGGGACTAATTCTTGTTGCAAAGAACTTTCGGCATTCCTGTCTCACAATCAGTAATAGGTGGCTGACTTTCTTTGCAAACTTCAGAAACAACTAACCTGCCACTGATTTTCTGATAAAAGAGGAACAAACATAATGCTTTTTATATGCAAATGCATATACTAGGTTCCTTTCCCCTTAACTCAGTCCGATTGTGATGCAATTTGGGCAAAAGATATAACATCAAAATTGGGAAAAACAAGGTTTCGGCATAATTGTTTAGGGAAAATTTGGGATGCTAACATATGGCTAAGATTTTTTTTTTTTTTTTTTTTTTTTTTTTCAAAGTAAAAAATAACCAAAGCATGGAGTATTTTGAAAATTTCTGTTGAGAGTTTTCAAAATCATTTGATGACAAGATAAATGTTTGGGTAATTTTCACCTAGAAAGAAACAGAAAAAAATTTAGGGTGCTTTGTCATTGATTTACTGTGTTTCTGGGTTGAGCTACTAAGTCCACCTCGCTTGAATGGTTTTGATAGATTGGATAAGAAGATAGATTGGGTTTAAGAAAAAAAGTTCTTGTACGTATATTTTCTCCCAGAAACACAAAGACCTTCCTTTAACATTTCATGCAAATTATCCTGGCTCTTTTCCCACAAATTGCATCAAAATTGGACTACTTTTTGACATTAGATATCACCATTTCTGACTCATACGTAAAATCACCTATCTACGGGGGAAAATGATAGTGCTTTTGTTTCTGAAATGAGCCAGGATTAGTGGTTCCTCATTGCAAAATGAGGTCGGACTGATTCAAGTTATTATCTGTGCATATGATTAGAAACTGGAAAATATGAAAGAGAGATGATAGTAAAAAATAAGTATTACTAACCTCTTTCCCCTTTCTTGATTGTTGATTTCCTTGCTTGGACTTGGGGCAGATTGGTCAGCCAATCGGTTACCATTTCTAGATTCGTCTGATTCCATTTCATAAAACTGGGCTTGCAAATTGGTATCTGCAAGAGAGAGAAAAAATACTTAAGAGGCAAGAAAAGTAAATAGATAACAGCATCAATCAATGTCTGAAAAAAGCTTGCCAGTTGAACTTCTATTACTTACACTGTCAAATGGTTTCCATTCTAAACCATTTTATTGATTAGCTTCAGCCTTTGCAGTATTCAAGAAGAATACACTTCTTTAGCGAGGAATAGTTTGTCTGGCTAAGACTCTCAAACAAAGGATTCACTGTGAAAAATGATAAAACGGCAGGAAAACTACAAGACCGCTTGGCTTGAATGCTATGTTTTCAAATTTATGCTCCAATTTCATTCTTGCAAGTGTTACCAAATGTTTTTTCTTTCAGAAGAGGAAAGACTAATATTAATCTACTGAAAAGTGAATGGTCTTAGCATGTAGATAATTTAAGGTAAGGTGCACTTGAAACACAGAACTGCGCAAGTTGGCAACCGATGCGAGTGTGATGATCAGTCGAAGGAACAACAAAACTCTGAGTTTTCCTTTCAACAAACTGTTACGCTGCATTAAGTAGTTGCTAAATTGTGCACCTAAAGTGCTGTACCTTAGGGTAGGTAAGTAATTTATAGAAAAAAGCCAATGAGAAACAAGCCTACTTATACTGAGGTTGCTTAATTCAGTTGTTGTATTTAACAGTTAAAGTGCTGCAGAGGAAGTGATTGTTATGCTGCTTTTAACTGTTGCTTTGCAACAACATAAATGGCAGAGAATCTTGGAAAATTGAATTGTGATAGGATTTCTTTGCGGTAAGTAGTAAACCTAAGTAAAAAAGAAGCGTTATGAACAAATTCCTCCATAAAACATGATGCAATTAAACAGATTATGACAGCTAAAGATCAAATAGCATTTGAAAAAAGTCACGCACGAGTCATGATCTTTGTTTGTTGGAGAAAGAGAGGGAGCTACCTACCTACAACATGAAGTGTCAAACACAAAAACTGGACTGGGAAGCTAAGTCTCACCTACAGGGTGCATGACAAAATCAGTGAATCATGTTCCTTTGTTCAGTGAAGTTCAAGCTCCTCTGGGAACTGCAAAAACCCATTTCCCTCTCTCAGACAAAATTCAAATTTCCTCTTTCCATATTAGGATCTAGCTTACCTTGAGGAGAGCTCACTCGTGTATCTACCCACAGAGGTCAAGATGCTTTGTTAAAATGATAGTAAACAAACCAACTTCTCAGCAAGACCACAGAGCTAAGGCAGATAGAATGAAAGAGAATTTCTCTTGATTACTTACAAAATTTGATCTTGTTCTGGGATATCACCTCTTAAAAATTAGGTCACAAACAGAGGTACAGATCAATTTTGGTGAAATTGTTGGGCAGTGATAACAGATTATTTAACTAGTTATGCAACAATCAAACGTGTGAATGCGAAAAATGCAGTTCTACAGAAATTTGGAGAGAAGATGCAGTACAGTTCTTGAAACCGGATAGAACAGAACTGGATTCTCATCAACCACTAAGAATTTATCCAACTTTTAAAGCACTTGAGGGCGATTTGGCAGTTAGTTACGAAATGTTTACAGTGCTTTGTTTGGTGTTTGGAGGAAGCCTCAGCTGTTCGTGTTTACATCAGCTGATATGACGTCATCAAATGACTAATCCAAAATGCGCGCGAGCAAACCGCGAAATTTAAATAATCGCTAGTGCTTGGCCACTGCTGATGGCTGCTTATCCGCAATTTGACACAATTTTCTATGAATGCAATAATGCTTTTAGCATTTACTTGAGACCATTTAACGTTTCATAAAGCACATGATACTTCATTGTCAGTAACTTTCATTCCTTATTTCCTTCCCAAGGCCGGAGGACTTGCTGCACTTTTAAGTCAAACTCATACCATTGAAAAATAATGATTGAATTTACAGATAGGTTGCATACGTATCTACGTATCTTTAGTTTTGTTTTTTTTTAACTTATTGTTTTTCTTAAAAAACAAAAAGCGAGGAATATTTGTTTTTCTAGATTTGATATTGATGTTCTGACTTCAGCGCCATACATAGAATCTTTTGTCAAGACAGAATTTTATGGAGGGATAAGTAAGTTAGCTTACAGTTCTCGAATAACGTTCATTAGGTACTCTCTTGTATTTTTCCAAGATTTGTTTTGAAGTTGTCATTAGAAACAAAAAAAAAGAAAAAAAAAAAACACTAAACGAATAAAAAAATATTAGTTGCGATTTTGAAATAAATCGATGACCAAAAGGCATAGGGGACCATCCCTAAATTACAAAACACAATTTTTCGGCATTTTCGACCCCCTTCCTCCTTGTAACGCTTGTGAGACGTGTAGGTAGGTCCTTATCCTTTTAGCACGTAAAAACAAATGGAAATGTTGCATGTGTGAGGAATTTGCGATTTGACTGTTGATTCTGATGTAAAAGTTCGCGAGAGACACGATGGTGCCACTGATTTCCTCTGAAATCATCTCCCAAGCTTAAAAAAAGCTCTCAACTTTATTCTGAGAGTCCGCCTCTACATTAAAAAAAACTCTCCATGCAAATGTAGGGAGCAAATGCATTCACAGGGCTGCCACCTTATTCGGGGACTCTAAAACTGAAAACACGGCATCACTGCTAATGTATTTGCTCCCTATACCTTTGCATGGAGAGTTCGTCTTGATGTAGGTAGAGGTGGACTCTCAGGATAGCGTGGGATATCCCCTCCATTTTGGCCTCAACTTGAGAGCTTTTTTTAAGCTTGGGAGTTGATTTCAGAGAAAACCAGTGGCACCATCGTGTTATTCTCGCGAACTTTTACATAAGAATCAACAGTCTAATCGCAAATTCCTCACACATGCAACATCTCCATTGGACGTTTAAGAGTATTGAGACAAAACTCAACAAGAAGAAGGATTCAAAACTCAAAAAAACACAACTGTAAAATTTACAGAATTATATCATGTTTGATTTTATTCGGTAGTGTTCATGATACATAGTAAATCTCACGAGTACACTATAAAAGTCAGAATAAACAGTAAAGAGTCCTTCACAACCTAGATGGACCAAAAGTTTCACTTTAAGAAGAAAGGAGTTTTCATTTAAAAAAAAAAAAATCCTTCATTTTCTGCACCTGAAGTTATGCAGTGACAAGCTGATTTTCAGACATTATTCGTTTTATTTTCTTAATTAAAAATTGTCAAAACTTAAGTGGACCTCCACACCTAGAGGATATTATAATAAACGTAAGGCCGCGCTGAGGAAAAATTACTTATGAGTCTTCAGGCGTTCCTAAATTCTCTTCGATAGAAATACGAATTTCCAGAGAAACCTGAGAATATTTTTCCTCCGATTTTTCAAAGAATTTTACTCACAACCAGATCTAAATTATTTAAACATTTCAAGAGAAAGTATTCATAGCTCTCCTTGAAAATAAACATTTCATTGGAGGAAATTTGGCAACTCTCTTCAACTCAACTTCATACAGCATTTTTCCTTAGCACGGTAGTGTGAATGCTGGGCATAAGAAAGTCTCCCTTCTTCTATCCAAAAGAAAGAAACGCAATGTCCACAGAATATCTTGAAAGGTTTCAATAATAGATAGATTTTTTTTTCAAAATTATAACAGTTGCAACATTACCCTACCTAGGAAGTGTAGGATCTCTCATTATCGCGTCAGTAACAATGCTAAAAAATTGGATGGGAATATTCTCGGGAATTATTGAAACAAAAAAAAAAAAAAAAAATGAAGAAAATAATAAAATACCAAAATGAAGAAAAAGATACTGTCTCAAAAAAGAGTGTAAAAATGTTCGCAGTTAAAAAATAATTGATTCTGCATTGCTATGAGAAGCAGGTTTATGAAAGAGAAAAAAAATAAAAACTTTTGTTGGCAATTTTTAAAACATAGCTCTGATTTGCGAATGGATAAAGTCTTGTCTTTCGACAAAAAAAAAGTGATCAAATTCAGGAATTCAGACACAATGACAGTATTATCTACGTCCAACAAAATTATCAAGAGGGAACATTCTGGTTGGAGCCTTGCATCTCTGTGTAGAGGATCCACTTTTTATCTCCAGCCCCGAACGTATGTAAAATTCTGACAAAAACCAGAGAATTGTCACTGTAGCAGTGTGCAAGTGCTTCTGTAATGGCTATTGCAGTGAATTGATGCAAAGCAAATGGCAATATATTAAGGTCAACTTTCTGAAGGATAAATTGTGGACCCTCCTGCAAAGTGCAAGGTTCAAATTGGAACTTTAACTCTCTAATAACCTTGATTTTTGAATAACATCTTTATTAAAAATTAATTTAGGTTGAACAAAGTATAAAGACTTTTATTTAGAGGCCTTGCTTTCTTTTAATTTAGGTTACAGGCATTTTTCCACAAAAAAAGGAGTTTAAAAAATTAAACATACTTGTTGTGACTCGGATAGGTAAAAATGCGTATCATAGGAGTGCAGAAAAGTTTAATGTACAGGAAGAAACCCATTTATCTGCAAGACTTCAGAATTTCTTTCAAGTTTTAAGGGCAAAATATTACATTCCTTGTGAAATTACTTTTTTTTAGTTGCTACTCCGAGTTTTAAAAGACGCTTTTAAGGGAACACAGCTTCCCAAGTCAGCCTATTTTCTATTCAGATAAGACTACACAAAGCTATTAGACTTAAAAGGTCTGAATGCCAGATAAACATGGGTTCCTTTCTGTTCTGTAATTTCAGTCTGAAGTTCTAACTATTATGAGGTAAAAATGAAAACAGGAGTTTAAAAACACCTGCAGTTGAAAATTTTCACAAAAAAGAACAAAAAAATATAAGAATTCAATCTTTTCTTCCTTGTAGAGCAGTACATTATTTTCAGGGTCTAAATAATTTAAATCTTGACTGACACATATGGGAAAAAATATGATAATTTCAACAATAAGTGCATTGTCAAAGTAAACTTATTTGATAGCTTTTGATTCTTCTATTTACTAAATGCAACTCAACGATCCCATGGACCTCCCGAGATCATTGAACGTTTGTTAGAAATGTTTGAAATTCATAAGTAAAATGTAAACAACTGTCTTAAAACGCTGAATGTTCGGAATCAAGTGATTCCCATTCCAGGTAATTCCAAACAGTTTACTTTAACAATACAGCTTATATTCCTGGCTGATTTTGGCATCAGCCAAAAGTGTTTGGTTATACCAGCTGGAGGTATGATAAATTTACCCACATTTCTGGCTGACTTAACCATTACTCTGGCTGGTGCCAAAATCAGCCAGGGATAAAGTTGAAATTAATAGTATTTATTGTGGTGCATCTTATAAAAGTCACAAATTGGACTTTTCTTCTTTTGAAGCACCAAGTAATACTTAGGTTCTAAGTATTTGGACAGAGGGGACAAAATACCTATGGTCTTGGGCGCAGTTTTACAACAAAAATTCACGTTAAAATCTATTAAATTCAAACTTTTTCTCATTTATTGTCAACATGAATGTGTTTCTTTGGACCATTTTAATGTAACTATGGTGTAGGTGAACCATCAAGCATAACAAAAACGGAAATGATAAAAATACACGAATACATAAGATATGGTAACTTAAACATTTCTAGACTATTTACAATTGTGATAACAATTAGGGAGCTCTTTCCGCAAGGTGCACTATGCAAACACAAATCTTTTTCCTTAGGAAAATAAAACTCACCCATCGGAGAGTAACAAAACATGACAATGCACCAAATCACGTTTTGCTCATCTTCTCCATGAACACTTACATTCTTGAAAGACACTTTAGAGACATGAGCAAAACAAAAGGCATTACTGAAGAGAGAAAAAAAAATTATATAATGGTCACTAAACAAACAGTTTTGACATAGGGAGTGCTACTTTCAGATACCTCGGGTATTCATACTGATTAATCAATTTTCCTGTATTATTGTACACTAATGGTGAATGATTAGGTATAAGTTGAACTTGAAGTTCCTACCCAAAGTTTTTGAGGATGGAAAAAGAAAATAATTTAGATGAATGTATGTACCACAAAATATATATATTCATGAAGCCACTAAAAATAGCAAAATTCCTAAAAAATCTGTCAATCTGTTCGTTCTGTTCCTTCTGTAGGAAAGCTAGAAAGTATATCACTTCCCAACCAATAGGCCTCTGGTCAATGAATGAACTAAAGTACTGCGCAGTTCGTTTTCACCACAAAATTTGAAAAGGAAAACAAATTACATGACAGGAAGTTTAGAAATCTACCTCTAAACAAGCTGTAATTGTTTACAATAAGCATTGGTGAAATGGCAAGAACACAAATGATGTTGTTGAATAATCCAGCTTCATGTCCTAACTTCTGATTGTGTTGAATTGGTAAGAATCATTTTCTGCCAAGATTTTGACGGGAAAACATGGCGCATTCTTCAAGTTCAGACGTTGTCTAGAGGCCCATTGAAAGCCTCCAAAGCTGTATACTAAGGTAACATAAAAAAAAAAAAAAACAACAACAACAACAAAAACCTTCGTTTCAATCAATCTGATAAAGGTTCTCAACAATCTTAGGCCATAGTCTACATTAAAATTGAGATACATTACTCTGAAGTTATATGAAAATAGTTTATACCCAAAGATTATCTAGAAAAATTCTACAATGACGACAAATATGCTGAGACAAGTTCATTTAAAGTGTACTCAACTCCTTCTAATTTTTTCTTTTTTTATCGAATATTGTGAAACACTTTTGTAAAAAAATTTAGTGAGTATTCTTGAAAGAGCAATAAAAAATCACACAACATCTTGAACAGTAAGAACGACCCGTTTGCCACAAAAAAAGAGTAAAAAGTGACAATACATGTACGTCAGGAAACAAAGGGCATGGTTTTGTAGTTTCACCATCAACATCGAAACAAGACTGAAGATGATGTTCTGAAGTTTTACATTGGATTAAGATTTTGTTTCTTTGCACTTCAATAAAGCAAAATCTTTCAGTTTATAAAACTTTATGTTGAGACACAAGTTTTGAGTTGAATTTTTGGGCTTTTGTATAGAAATTAGTCTAAAAAATCAAAGCGTTATACACAGATTTTACATGCATGGTTTCCGTTAGAAAATCATCTATACCACATGCAAAAGCTTGCTCTTCAAAAGTGGCTAAGTACATACTACATAAAATTGGAGCTAATCCTACAGCGCTAATTGAGTCTAATGGGGTCACAGGAATTAATGTAACGAACGAAAAACAAATAAGGCCACTACAATTAACAAAATATGGCAATTACACTAATGCTTAAACAAAGGAGAGAGACAGTGATTAATGATAGGAGTATTCAGCATGGTACATTGACGCGCAAAGGTAATTTTTACTCACAGCATGCTTGCCTACTGCCGGGGACTAGATTTAATTCAAGTAAGAACTTACTTTAATCGAAGCAAACATGACAACATGGCTTGGTTGAATTCTTTCATAACTTAAGAATTCACAAACGATACCGGAAATGCTCGAGAAAATCTTGGGGATTGAACAATGAGGTCATAATTTAGGCTCAGAAATCTACTCCTACGCAGTAGGCAAGTTGGCCATGGGCAAGGATCAAGGCAAACGCAATATCAGCACAGAAAATTAAAAATGAGTACTTGCAAAATGAGAGACAAAAGAAAAAAAAAATAATCTGAGAGGATCTTTGGCACAAGGTTCAGATGATGTCAGTCGAAATCCATGAAAGGAAATCTGACGTCACGTCAAGTTCATAGGAAACATAAAACATAAAAATGTAAATATCTGACCCAACATCTTGTTTCCTAGGTAAATTATGTAAAAATAAATTAACTACAGTTAAAGTTTGGCATGGTAGAATTTGTAACACTCTTTTACAATTTTTTGCATCTCATATGAGCTGCGCCCACAAGCTATGGTTTTACACTTCTAAAAGTATCAAATTTTACATTATCTTGTTTGAAAGCTGAGATACGAAGTTGATAAAACCACAATAATCAGAACTATTTCTTAGTTTTGAGAGGTTGAATACAATAATTTGGCAAATTTTCCTGCAAGTAGATAGCTGCGCTAAAATGAATGAAGATTATACAGCCCAATTCAGGCAATCAAACCTTTCATACACTTCTTCTTCCCCTTTTGTTGGACGAAAAATTGGATCATGTGATAATTAATTGAGAACACAACAATCAGATGACAAATTGAACAGAAATTAGAATCTGACATCAATGTCCAATTTTCTAATCCAGGTCCAGATTTTTTAGATCCAAAAGTTTAACGGGAAATTGGAACAAAATATTCCGACCGATGTTACCTGAACTTATATCTTCTCAAACCAAAAGCTAACGGAAATACCTAAATGCCAATATTAGGTAAAGAACAGCAATTGAATCAAATTTTCATTCAACATTTGTCAGATAAAACTTTGACTATTTGAATTGGGCTTCACATCCCACACACAAATTCTAGAACAAGGCAGACAATTTTAAAGTTGTAATCAAAAATTTGAATCCATGCACGGATTTGATCAGAAATCTGCAACATTTTACCTGGTTACAGATTCAATCTGTCCCAAAATTTCTCTCTTTCCTTAGTAATAGGAGATTAGCATTGACACAAAACAGAGAGTAACAACATTCTTGTAAACTTCCATCCATTACTAAATAATTGAGCAAAACTGTGCCTTTGAGCAATTGGAAAAAAAAGAAAAGAAAAGGAAAAAAATGAAAGGAATTCCTCCTCCAAGGGCGAATCATAGCTTCTAATGATCAAACAGTATGAAATAAGCCACATCCTAACTAAACATTATTCCATTAAAAAAATAACCAGGCATTCAAAGAGAAAAGAAATATTAGGAAAATAAAAAATATTTTATCTTCTTGAACTAAAAATTAAAACAAATCATTGTGCGTAAAGAATAAAAAACGAAAGAAAAAAATGCTTGGATAGAAAAAAAAATATTATAAGCACAAAGTGAGGAGAGAACATTTATCTAGGGTGGGAAAATAATTTCGCAAAACAATGCAGGCAAGACCATGATGGTTAGAAGATAAAGAGAATACAATTATTTACTGAAAAATACGATTTTCACAAATCAAAGAGAGCATTACCTTTTTTTAAAACAGTGCCTGCAGTCTAACCTTCGGCCTCGAAAAATTAGTTAACTAATTGCAATAGCAGATCAAGAGAGAAGTGATGGCAGAAAATGGCATAAAAATACCATTTTGCCGACGAAAAACTTCAACCCCTCTTGCTCGTCACAGGTGGCTGGTTCTGCTTGTGAGCTTTTGCCAAAATTTATTGGATAAAAAATGAAGTTTCAACACACTGACTGCCACGCCAATTACTACTATGATCCTCTAAAAGTATTTCCGAATGCCATGCTTGTCTCAATGTCTTAAAAAGGTAACATAACAGCCAGTTTCTAGCTTGAGACTCCTCCGTTACAAAACTGGTTGATGCAGGGCAAACAGAAAGCTTCCAAGAATGGGTATGGGAAAAAAATGGAGGATCATTCTACATCATTTCTTTTCCTGTCAAGACAACAGATAGACCATTGGTTTCAGCGGAATCAAAAAGACTGTGGCAGTCACTGTTTTATGCAGGTACAATGAAGTTAGTCTTCGATTCCGGTGCGTATTTCTTGAAAATGCTAGGATATAAATGTAAGTTACCAGGGCTGCAGAAAATTCTTATCCTTACCATTTTAAAACCTTTTTTATCCAAAATTTTCAGAGCTATCACCTTCCTCTGACTTTTACTCACAAAGGAAGGGTATCGATGAGGGCTGTTTTCAGGTCCACTTTAAATTTCCTTAAATCTAAGATTCTTTGCTCATTGAAGGTCTATATTTAGCGGAACGCATATCATGAATTTGTCATCCTTGGTCTTTTGTCGAGTCTAATACTGCCATTAACATGGGTCCAAAGGCCGATTTCAGGGAAAAGCGGGAATAGTAGATATGCAGTTGAATGCCGAAAAATTCGCATTTTCGGCGGAAATTGGCCCTCCAGATGAATGTTTAGGCCAGTATGCGACCCAAAAAGAAACCAAAAATGGCCAAGTCATGATGCAATCCGTAAAATATAGACCTTCAATGAGCAAAATCAAATCGTAAGGTTGAGGAAATTCTGCTAAAATGAGCCCAGAAACAGCCCTTATCAAAATCCCTCCTTTCCACAATTTCGCAAAAAAACAAACAAATTTCATAGCTCTTGCGGTCATTATGATCAGGTGATCAAAGTTTCTGCACCCTTAGAAGATGCTTTAGGGAAGATATTTGTCAATTGCAACGTTTGAAACAGATTGGATAGGAAATTCGATAAAAGTAGAAAAAAGTCTCAACTCATGACCAATAAAAAAAGTACCGGAAAAGCAGTGATAGAAAAACTTGCCTGTACAGAACATTTAAAGCATAAAAACTAAAAATAACATGAAGTGTAACAAAATGTAGCAATAAAGTTAACAATTATAAATTGGCATGCAAAAAGAGGTAAGATCATTTATCTAGGGTAAAATAAAATGAGCTAGAAACATGTGTCTAGACTAGACTAAAAATTTTACATGGCACTACTAGAAATCCATCACATGGATTATACAGTCAACAGTTTGTTTAAAAAACTTCTCAGGTTTAAAAAATTACATCAACACGGTAAAAATAACTAGTCATTGTATCAAAAAGGCTCCACATGCCTTTAAAAATGGTCAAATTTAAAAAGAGATCTTCGTTCACAATCTTTGGAGCGATTCTGGTCAATGTCCTCTGAACGACTCAAGATGCCCGTTTGAAATTCTCAAATTTTGAAGGACTTTAAAATACTGATAACCAGAGATTTTCGTCTAAGTTGCAAGTCCGTTTATTTAAGAGTTAAAAACTTTAATGCATTCAGTATAGACTTCTAGAGGGAACGAATATACCTTACGTTTCTCCAATAGAAATACCGTACGCCTTGAAGCTTCTGGCAGATGAAAGTTTGATCTCCTGGTACCTACCACTGTTCCTATCTTGCCCTAAAATCTTCATCCAAGTCCATGAAAACTGCAGTTTATGCCACAAATATAAGTTTGTGTTGAGCAGTTATAAAGTATTGCAGTTTATTCCAACTGTCCTAATTCCACTGGTCCAAACAGAAAAGAAGCCCTGAACCAAAGCAGGGTGTCTTGTCTACTAAAATAGGCTGGTCAAAAATAAGTACTTTTACGGTCCTTTTCCAGTACATTCTCAAGAAATTCAGTACCTCCTCCGACAGAAAAATTCCCCACTTTTTCACTACCTCTATTTGACGAAATTAGAAAAATTTGAAATTGCGACAAAAATGGCAAAAAATTTAAAAAAATTCAGGACCTTTTTGCGGAATTTCCGCACTTTTTCAGTACTTCCGGACTTTCCGGAAATTCTGGACTTGTAGACACCCTGCAAAGGAACTTTCCTCCCATCATACTAAATGAGTCAAGAAGGAACTTGACATTGGAAGTAATAGTTCACTTTGAATTAAAATTATTTGAGCTTTTCAAGTGAAGTTCATGACGTTTCTAAATTATTTTCTTGAGTTTCGAGAGGACATTGAACATATTATTATCCAAAGAACCCCTTGAAAAAAAAAATCGCTATACAACCTCCACACATTAGTTCGGCATGTGCTTTTAATAATAACAAAAAAAAATATTGAAATTAGTCACTCAGAGATGAGCTGCCTCTGGGCGGGAATGCGAGTAGGTGAATATCACTGACAGCTACCGTTGAATGGTGCCGTGTTTTTCGGCAGCCCTCTTTATCGTTGTCTGAGTTTGGTTTGACCGTGTGCGATAAAGCATGCGTTCGGTCGAAATCAATAGTAGCGTAGGTGTCGGATAACTTGGTCTCAAACGTCGGGTTATTTGAGCTAAGTGACGATGGTGAGGGGTTTGGGTCTGGTGGGTTATTGTTGTGCAGGTCCAAAACTATGTAATTGGTTTTCCTCGTTATAGTTGTGCTTTTAGTGTTTAAAACATCTGGTGTTGGTTTGATCTTGGAACATGACTCATTCATGACAAGATTCATGTAATCATTTGGTTTGGTGATCAAATCATTGGAGACCACGCTTGTAGGAGAGCTCCCTGGTACCATGTTCATATACACTTTTGATGGATCTACGTCTTCTGGTGGGCTGATGAGATGGACTGGCTTCAGGATGGGGCGTATTGATTCAATAAGGTTCAGATCCAAGTTCATGTACGGTTTTGTTGCTTCAGGATTTGGTGCAGGTTTGGCGATTTCAGGAGGCGGTGGTTTGATCCTATTTACATTCACATTGACATAAGGATGAATATTGCCATTGCAGTTCTCTTTGTCTACTGCAGGGTCGTCTTCACCGATGTTCCTGTTGACGTAGATCTCTGAGGGAAGTGGAGGCCCTTTGAGAGGGTTTAGGGTGGCTCGACCGAAGACAACATTTATCCAGTTACGGATTCGTGGCTGATTGGAGCTTAGGCACCCATCTGAGCGTGGCACTAAATAGTTTGAGTCTGGGCTTGGTGAGATCTGGGACGCACAAGAACCATTAGGGGGTGAGTGCGGGAGGTCATGGGAGACAATGTCTTCATTGGAGTTGTGTGTCAACTGAAAATACCAAGAAGTTCAATTAATCAGAAATTTCAAACAATGAGAGGATGTGTGCTAAACTTCAGAAAAATATTTTGTTTAAGTTGGGTCATGGCTGCTGATATAAAAATTATAAACCCCAATCCTTGGGATTGAAATGAGAATATTGACGATAAAAAGATCAAAATATAGTATAAAGAATTTTTTTTTTTTTATCAACAATTAAGAGTGAGTAGTAACTTATGAATGAGACACTAAAATGAAAAGATCTTGCATATTTCAAGACAGGACTGGAAGATTTTACAGAGTGATTACGGATGAGAGTTTTGGAGTAAGTCCAAGGGTTTACAATAGGGTCTTATTCTTCAATGCAACACAGTTTACTGTGAAGACTGGCTGGTAATCAAACATAAGTGTTAAATTATGTAATCATATATTTCATGACATATATCATGATAAGAGATAAAAGCTCTATGCTCTACTTTTAATACCTCTCTGATCCTCATCCATACATGCCGCTCTTCAGAAACACAACATGTTTGTACAAAATGAGGGAACCGGCAGGATCACGCATGGAAAACCAATCTTCCCTCGGAATGAAATATCTCTGGAAAGTCTATATCTCATCAAAATAGGGTTGATAACCTCATTATTAATTGGTTCCAAAGAAGGCTCACGTCAATTCTGTTTCAGCGTAATTGGGGTCAGTGATTGAAAAATACGCTGGCCAAACAGCAATTTGCCGGTAAAAAATGAAACTTCGTTGTTAAACTCCGTTTTAGGGATTTTTCGCATTTTTGGGGCTATTCAATGGGGTATAACTGACTCGAGGCATTTTGAGAGGGCAATCTTTCATTTTGGCCTCTCCGAAAAAGAGTTACAGGCCAGATGGCTGCTAAGACTTCATGCCCAGTTTCAAACACTGATTAGGGCTGAAATGAGATAAAAACATCTCTGAGACTTTTTCAGGATACATTTAAAAAAACGAGTGACTGAAACTTCTAAATAATGTTGGCCTCCTGTAGTGTAGTGGTTATAGCACTTGCTCTATGATTGAGAGGTCCCGGGTTCGATTCCCGGCCAGATGACCTGAGTTTGATGGTCTCAAACAACGGCTACCTTATGCTGGCTTGAACAGGAGCTGGGGGGATGGGACTTTAGGAACTGCAAGGGTGAGATCACTCCCTCAGAAATGATAAAAAGAAGAAACAAAGAAAGAAAACAAAATCAGTGACAAAAACGGGAATCAACTATGTTTATGAAACTTTCCGGAGTGTCATAAATGTGTCAATGAAACATTTTATAAACTGGACATGGGGTCATTGACACATCTGAATAACTCTTTTTCAAGAATAGATGTGCAAGGTTACCTGTATGCGAGACTGGAGTAGATTAAACAACTGCTCTGCTCTACTACATTTAAAAGCGTAGATTCCTGCTCCGGTCTGACAACGCCTCCCTGATTCGAAACTAAAAATCTCCGCATCAAAGCCATACCGTCTGAGGCAACGAAGTGGCCACGTAGTTTTGTTCCTGCCACCTTGCTGGTGTAAGATCAGGTCACTCTCTGTAATTTCTAGTTGTCCTGACGACAAGCGGTTGCCCAGATCGTCAACATTCATTACCTGCAATTCAAGAGCAGCAGAAAAAAAATTAAAATCTTCAAATTTTCAATCTTCTCATGCATACTTACATTTATCTTGATCGTCAACTAGATCCACCTCCTTGAAACGAAAATTGATTCATTAGTTCGTATGGCGAAATGAAAGTCATTAAACAGTCCAGAACGGGCATCAAGATAAGGTATGAATTAAAGTGCTTCGCAACATGTTCTTCAAAGTTTCACAAGGAAAACAATTCAGACAACAGGAAATATGGAAATCAACTTCTAAACAAGACATAATTGTTTACAATAAACATTGGTGAAATGGCCAAAATTACATATTTATCATTAAATATTTACCTGTGTATGTAAAAAATGTAGGCAAATGGAGATAGGAGTGATGAAAAACAAGAAAAAAGTATTTTCGTTAATAAATTTTATCTAGATATTACTGAACCTTAACATTTTTACTATCGTCTCAGCTCACCATAAACAATATGGTGAGCTATTATCAGCACAGATTATACTAGTTACACAGATAAGTAACTTGAAATTGAGGCATACTTCAGTAAAAGGGCGTATGAGACTTCCAATACTGCTAAGATTGTCCAACATAGTTCTCTAGATGTAAGTAACTTATCCGACAGTTCTGCTATGAATATTTCCCTTAGTCTGCTCCAAGTTTTCCTCCCTATAGTAAGGAAGTAAGTCAACCAAGAATGAATTTGATCTGAAGCAAATGCTACTAAAAATTGCACAATCTCAGCGGCATTGCAGGCTTCATGCGCCGTTTTACCAAAAAAGTCTTCAATTTTTGTATTATATTTGATTTGAAAAAGTTTCACCATAGAAGGAATCTCAAAAAGACCAAAGCCCCCCTCTCCCTGCCTACTTCAGTTGAAATGATGTCCCAGCCTCCTGTCTTGGTTACTTAGTCTTTTTTCTTGAACCACCACATGACTGACTATGCAAGCGATAACAAGGTTGCACTTCTTTCTTCAACAATAAGTCAGACCTGAGGTCAGTAGAATTAGAGAGTATGATTTTTCATGGTGGGCAGCTAGGCAAGGTATAAATTTAAGCACGATATTGTATACTTTGTCTTCAACATTTAAGAAGAGAACAATTCATACAGCGGAAACTCCTGAGCAAGATATTAACATGCCCTTTAGGCACTGATTAAATGGAACACAAATCACTTAACCGACATTGCGTGCACTTGTATCATTTAACTGATATTACTACTTAATATTTACTTATATCTTCATACTTACGGAGTTGATTTCTGAACAGCCCATAGCATGAATAATTTTTCTTAAATTTTGAAGAGAGTGCATATGATAAAGCACTTTAATTCATAAGTTTGCCTAAAGCCTCAATAAAGCATTATCAACCTTTCAGCATGAGTTTATGAGAGAGAGAGACATGTATTAGGTGATATCCGTCAACACTGCAGGACTTCAGAAGCTGAAAATTGAGAATTTTCTTTGGGTTTTCGAAAGATAGGTGATTTGAACGTTCATGGAAAACTTACCTTGAAAATGTGAGGGTGAATGTCATTAATATTCTTTTTGCTCAGAACACAGCCCATCTTTGCGCATTCTGAAATTAACAGACAACACGATTCATTACTACAAAGAGGAATAATTTTATCTGCCGAGTATAAATTACATACCTAAGAGACCTTGAACAACTAATGACGAGGTCACCAGGATAATTTCTTAGAAGACTACTCACAATTAAACCATCAAAACTAATGCATCTGATACTTCCTCGTGCCTGAAACATTGAGTTGAACAACATTACTGACTGCATATCTTTCAGTTGTCACACATTTTGGTAAATTTCTTTATGCTTCATACCTACAAAATTATCTGCGGCACTATACGTAAAATAGGTACAGAATAACTCCTTCGTACCGCAAAAATTACATAAATCTATGTGTGACAACAATGCTAAGTCATTCTAGTGCAATCAGGAAATTACTTAGCGATGATGCAAGTGAAGATATAAGCGTTTTCAGTTTAACGATCCGTAAGCTATTCTCCATTTCTTCTTTGATCAAGATGATATCAGCAAGATGATCAACAGCACATCGTAAAAGTAGAGATGATTATAAATGAGATAATGCTCTTTAAGAGATGAAATTGGGTTCAAATGGTCAATATGCTTTGTCATTCAATAGTAAATTCAATTATGATCGATGATCAAAGAAACGGCTTAAGCCATTTGAACCAGCTGAATTTTGAAGAATTCCCAACAAATCAAGAGTGACTCGATTGATAAAGAAAGTTAATGAATAGATGTACGATGCATATGTGGTAGAAGATGGTCCATTATTGTGCCAGCTCAAATTAAAGATGGAATTCTCAATTGTAATTGTTGAACCCCAGCACTTTGACGAAGTAAGTAATGAGTGAGTTAAATAACAACATGAGCAACAGGATATCAAAGATGCATTGCAACAGTGAAAGAGACTATAAAGTAAAGCTGGGTGTAATGAGTGGATGCCGAAAGATAAATATCTTTATGGGAACAATACCTTGCAAAGTCACTAATGAACACCACTTGTGCTAAGAGTTGAACTTTCAATTTGCTGCTGATGACATCTCACACGCGTGTAAACAAATGAACTTTCGATGGCAACCAGCAGGAATTCGCTGCAAAGCTAGGATCGGCAGTTAGACGGATTGGAAAGAACTTTACTTGCCACTTGACAACTTAATTGCTCCGATTTGTTATTTTTAATCAAATCAAATTCCAAGGCTAAAAGGTAAATGGAAAGAAAGAAATGGTACGCGGTAAACTTAGGTTAGGAGCGAGAGGAGATACAAGTTCCAAAACCATAACACAACGATGGAGCTAAGAAATTTTGCCAGTCAGTGGGGCGACAGATGGGGATCTATGTAAAAGAAATGTACACTGTTACTGTTGTTAATTGTTAAAAGTGCTGATGATGAATTGATGACAAGAAGTGACGTTAGGTGACGGACTGACGGGGGACAAGGACAGTAAAAAGTTCGTAGGGAGGAGTGGCTCCCGACTACCGAAAACAAACGACCAATGAGAAGGCAGATTGATAGCAAAAGCTCGAACAGCTGTTTTACAAGCATGTCGTATATTGCTCGGAGATTTTCGCCTTCAATCGGCAAGGACGCATTTTATCTTACGCGTGTGTCAAGTACGTCATAGAGAAAATACAAAAGGTGAAGGCAAGCGGAGAAATGTACTTTTATACGTCACAGCTAAAAATGATGCCGCCCTTCTGATTGGTCAATAGGATCGCGGGAAAACCGAGACCTCTTTGAAATTTAAAAAGGAGCGGGAAAGGTTGTGAGATTCCCACTTATTTTGGCTCTAAGAACTCGTAACTAAGACGTTTAATGTTTCAATATGTTTTTCTATCAATTTTCGGCTGTAGCTGAAAATGATTTGTAAGTTAAAAATATATATTTCAAATAATAACAACTTTTATCTCGACTCATCCCGTTTTGAAGGTATAACCATGCTAAATTACGTTCTGTGCGTCAAAAAAACAGAAATCGGAGATTCATTGTAACTAATGTTCAATTATATGACTTTCAATGTTACTTAGAATGGTCATGTAGGTCCTTATACGGGTTCCATCGTGAAATGCATGAAATGTATTTTTTTTTTTTTTTTTTTTTTTTTTAANTTTTTTTTTTTTTTTTTTTAACAGCGCGCCAGTGTACTTTTCTACGTCACAGCAAATCTTCAAGATGGCTGCTATGCCACCACCTTCTGTATTTTCTCTATGCAAGTACGTTAAACACTGCCCTCATAAATATTTCAAGAGGATCTACCTGATGACTCAATACACGCCCCCCCCCCCCCCCCCCCCCCCCCCCCCCCCCCCCCCCCCCCCCCNACTTTCTTCCGTTTTAGCTTTTTGCACCAAATGTACATCAGGGCCGGATTAAGGGGGTGGCCACATGGGCCGCTGCCCATGGCGGCAAATTTTGCAATTTTTTTAAATGTAGGTATAAAAAAAATGGGATTCAGAAAAAAAATTATCAATGAGAAAAGGGGACAAAATCTCTTTCCTGAGAGTATAGCAATTTCTAATTTTGTTGCTTTTCGGTGATACAAGAGACAAGAATCTTTAATTGGTCGAGTTAAGAGAGGGACTAAACACGCAATTTGGCCTGGAGCTAAGCGCAGAGAAGAATGATGACGAGGATTTGAGATGAAAAGAGGAAGCCCTCGGCGCGGCGGTTGGCATGTAACACATATTAGCGCCTACAAGATTGCATGAATACTTCACGCATTGCGTCAGACACAGTGCGGTCAGCAGCGGTCGGCGTGAAACGCATAGCGCCTACAAGACTGTAGAAATACTTCCCGCATTGCGCCAAATACAGTACGATCAGCGCAGAGCGGCGGCGGAAGTTAAAATTATTAAACCACATTTATATTTGTTCTTTCTTAATGTTTTAGTTCAATGCTTATAAATGGAAGGCCTTGTCCACAAAGAGATAGGTTTACGGGTTTTAACTTTCGCGCAAAGTTCCGTGAACTTTTGCTAGTAGTGTTGACAAGGCTTTCGCAAAAAAATGTGTCTAACACAAGTAAACGCATTTTATGCACCCCTCTCCCTCCGGCACGTTCACTTGATGGTTTAATTGATGTTCCAAAACGAATGAGAAGGGGGCTGCAAAATACAGGCGGCCCATTGGCGGCAAAGTAGGTAAATCCGGCCCTGATGCACGTATCGCGTGTGCCTTCAGCACCACAACGTTCGTTTTCCTTCTTTTTCTTAAATTCCAAATTTTCATTTAAATTCGAACTAGTCACTAGGGATGACTAGATTCTGCTCACTTCTCATCTTTTCGACTCTATCATCCAGCCATCGCCTATAAAATTAATGACTAGGCTTGCGACTGATAGCTCCACTGATTATAGCCAGCCAATCGCGTGTAGGCTTGAAGTCCCGCCACCCGTGACGTCATCAAGCCTATAAAAGCGTGTGCTGTTCACTTTTCATGATCTTTTTACCATCCTGACCCGGACTTGTCTGCGTGCCCCCTCTCGTCCTTCGGGCACGGGCACATCTTATATCCCGGTGTAAAAGGAACGTCTACTACTCTTCTTCCTTCACGGAATGGGAGGAACGTTGAAATTGGGGAAGGGTGGAATTAGGGTCAGTGCCAGTGAGAAAATGGCAGGAAAGGATTAGCGGTGTAAAGATTAGGGGGGGAAAAGGAAAATCGCTGGAGAGACTGTTACACTAGGCGCACAACACTGGGTATAAAGCTGCGGAACTATGGTGGTGCACCCAATCATAGCGTCGGCTATGCATGGGTTAAGAGTTTTCAAGTCATAAGGTGGAGATCGCGAAAAAATTTAGTGGGGGGAGAGCCACTGATTGAGTTTGTAACGAAAAAATACGGAAATATGGTTCGGTCTGGGGATAAAAAGTCAGAAACACGGGTTTTGCACCATGTCACGTAAGGAGGACTGAATACTCCTAACGGTGCGAGTCAGGGACGGACTGGCCGGGGTGGCGATGGGGCGATCGCCCCACTTTCATCGGCCAAAAGAGGCCCCGGAGGGGCCCCTTTTGGCCGATTTGAAGGGCCGTATTTCGCCGTTTCGAAGAAGCGCTCGAGGGCTTTTTCGGTTCGTCCTCGAGAAAGGGCCCCGAGACTCCTGAGAGGACAGGACACTTTATTGCCGATTCGGAGAGCGCCCTGAAGGAGCTTTTTTATGCCGTATCTAAGGGCGTTGCATTTTGAGAGCCCTTTTTTCTGATTCGAATAGTCCAAAGGGGTCCTTTTTTGTCATTTCGGAAGAGCCCTGAAGGACTCATTTATTGCCGATTTGAAGAGGCCTTGATGCGGTTTTATACCGCCTCTAAGGATCTTCAAGGCACCGGGCTCTTTATCGCCGATTCGACAAAAGGGTCCTTTTTGCCGGGGGCCCTTTGGTACTGATTCAGAGAGGCCTCGAGGGCGCATTTCTATGCAATTTTGAACTTTGGAGGCCCCTAGTAGGGATTTTTGTCAATTTTTTGTTTGTATTTTTATTTTCATTTTTATTTTTATTTCGATGGCTAAATTCTGAAAACACGTATCTCGGAATCCGCATCATTAACTCATGAACCCTGAGACTCATAAGGATACACGCAAAACATGAGCATCCTTACGAGTCTCAGGGTTCATGATGCGGATTCCGAGTTACGTGTTTTCAGAATTTAACCATGGATTTATTCATTCATTACGCGTCATTTAATTAGTAAACGGCACTGGTTTTTCTATGAGCAGAGCGAAGAAAGGATCCAATAAAACGTTCACAAAAAATTAAGACAGTTGTCAATTTTGGCGGCTAAAAAGTACATTTAAAAAAAAACAAACGAACAAAAAAATCCGAACTGTGTTTTTCAGAATGTGTTCTTTTTAGACTGTCACTATTAGTATTCTACTTGATTCTATGTATCTTCTGTATACTAATTTAGCTTTGGCACAATTTTTCGTTGGAAGAGGAAAATAAAAGTTGAATTCCAAGTATACAACGGATTCTCATTTTTTCATCCAGTTTAAGAAAATATACTAAGTTTTGCATTTCTGGTCTCTTTTTGGATAATGTTTCAAAAATAATATTAAAGAATAGGGTCTAAAATAGCGTAAAATTCATTCTAAAACGGCCTAATTTTCAAAATTTTCCGGGGGAGGGCCCCCGGACCCCCCTTCTACTGAGGAGCCCCCCAGACCCCCCTAGGGGCCCGCCCCATACTTAATTTAGGGCCAGTCCGCCCCTGGTGCGAGTACGAAAAATGATTGCGATAGCTTAGATGTGGGAGAGCGGAATGAAAATAGAAAATTTAGAGAGGCCGAAAGATTTGGTGTAGGTATTGAGAATTTAGAATAAGTTTACAAAGATAAAGTCACACTTGCAGTGTATTATTCAGAGCCCTCGAGAGAGATCTCTGATGCCTACTTATCCATCATTTCAGCGTGCAAAATTGACGAATCGTTGGGCACACAACTTTAGGCCTGCTATTAGCACAAAAATGGACTTGATAATCAATCACAGTATATTATTCAGAACCCTGGAGAGAACTCTCTGTCGAAATCTTGAAAGTCGATTTCTCCATCAAACTCAACAATAATTAATTGAAATAGCCTTCATGCACGCTGGGCTTGTCGATTTCCTTTGACACTTTTGCAGTGGTGAATGCATAGCTGAAGTGCGCTCCAGCTAGAATTGTATTTAACAAATGGGTGGTTTTAATACGAGGATTAAAAATAAACAAGTGGTACGGAATATAACAAAAGGATATGAACTATGCAATACGATAATCCGGATAGCGGAACTTGGCTGTTTTGAAAACGCCTTCAAATGCAACGTGATACTTCACGCATTCCGGAGAGTTCAAATAGTTGTATCATTGCGCCTTAGAAACGCGACGGAAGATTACAATCGAAATAGCCTCCATGCACGCTGGGCTTGTCGATTCCCTTTGACACTTTTGCAGAGGTGAGTGCATAGCTGAAGTGCGCTCCAGCCAGAAGTGTATTCAGCAAATGAGTAGTTTTTATAGGAGGATTGAAAACAAACAAATGGTAGGAAATAAAACATAATGATAGGAACTTTGCAACCTTTGTTTGCAACACAATAATCCGGATAGCGGAACTTGGCTGTTTTGAAAACGCCTTCAAATGCGGCGTGATACCTCACGCATTCCGGAGAGTTCAAATAGTTGTATCATTGCGCCGTAAGAATGTGACGGAAGATTGAAGCTACGGAACCTTAGGCGCGTCTGTCCGCGGCGTCCTGGACGCCAGCGGAAAACTCTGCTACCGAGTCGAGGGCGAGCAGACGCTCACATTTTGGGGCACGGCACCTTAGGAGCGGAATTCGTGGATTTTTTCCGCTCTGTCCGCTGTCAATTTCTCGATTTTTCGTTCATCGAACAAGATGATTTGAGCCGCGAAAATGACTGGACGCGCTTTTTTTTAGGAGAGTGTGGATTCGCTCGACAAGAATCGACCGAAGAATAAAAACGTGAATCGATCGACATAAATTCGATGGACAAATTATTAAAAAACCGGTGTCGATTCGATCGACATGAATCGATCGAAAAAAAACGTGAATCTATCGACGAAAAGTGACTGACGAATTTTTTTTGAAAAAAAAACCGATATCAATTCAATCGACATGAATCGATCGAAAAACCAAAACGTGAACCGATCGACTCACAGCTTGGTCGACTGATTCAGGGGTTTGTCGATCAACTCACAGGTTTATCGATCGACTCGTAGGTTTCTCGATCGACTCACAGGTTTGTCGATCGATTCATGGCTTATGTCGATCGATTCACGGGTGGGTCGATCGATTCACGGCTCTCATCAATCGATTCGCGGGATTGTCGATCGATTCACGGCTTTTGTCGATCAATTCACGGCTTTTGTGATCGATTTGCAGGTTTGTCCAACTAAACACATTCGAAAATCGGTAGGAAAGGCAGCGGACTGAGCGGAATTTGTCGGCGTCTCCGCTCCGATCTGTTGGCGACAGATCGGAGCGTCCTTCATCGGCGTTTTCCGCAGCGTCTCTCCGCCGCTAAGGTGCCGTCCCCAAGCAAAAGCAGCAGACAGATTTATCGGCGTCTCTCCGCGGCGTCCAGGACGCCGCGGACAGACGCGCCTAGGTTCCGTACCTTAAAATGGAAATAGCCTCCATGCACGCTGGGCTTGTCGATTTCCTTTGACACTTTTGCAGTGGTGAATGCATAGCTAAAATGCGCTCCAGCCAGAAAGTGTATTCAGCAAATGAGTAGTTTTTATAGAAGGATTGAAAACAAACAAATGGTAGGAAATAAAACATAAAAATGGGAACTTTGCAAAACAATAATCCGGATATCGGAACATGGCTGTTTTGAAAACGCCTTCAAATGCGGCGTGATACCTCACGCATTCCGGAGAGCTCAAATAGTTGTATTATTGCGCCTTAGGAATGCGACGGAAGATGACAATAAGTAATTGCTCTACTGAAAATCTTTGCAGACTGAGGTCCTTTCTTTTACAAAACAGTCACACATGAATATAATGCTTATCGATAGCTATAGTTGAAAAATGCATACTTACTTCAGATTGATACGTTATAAGTCTCTGCTCTCATTTAATTTTATTAAAGGAAAAATTTTCATTGAAATTTTCCCCACTCATTTTATTAAATCGCAAAAAATTGCAAGGAAACATTTTGATAAGGTTTCCTTGAGGAAAATAAAAACAATCGGAGAATTACAACATTGCGACCGAGATACGCATTTATCTACTTCATCCATCGACATATTGTACTATATTTTTCTATTCTTACATCTTTTGATTACTAAGGATCTTTGTGTCCCTGAATAAGGAGAACTGGGATCGATACGATGAAATTGACTGTAAAAGAAAAATTTGCAATTGTGTCCCTATCTTTCCAGAATTTTCCCACCTATCTATCCATTCTGTTTTTTGAGGATGAAAAAATGAATAAACAAATTTCTGATTACCACGTTCCACCACTTTCATGTGTTGGAAAAGCAAAACTGAGTAGAGTGGTGTTCAATACCTTCTTCATCACTGTATTCTTGAAAAAGTAAGATCTGTTCACGTTGACGTTTACAAAAATTTAAATACTAACCAGACTGAATTAATTTTTTTTTTTTTTTTTTCTTGAAACTTNNTTTGGGGGGGGGGGGAGGGAATACATTTACATCCTGCTGAATCTTTCCATTCTGACGAGGCATGAAGCCACTGGTAACAGAGTTCAAAAATTATTGAAATTACGAATAGAAAGCAAGCTTTTTAAATAAACTCTTTAATTGTAAGGCAACTTTGAGAAGAACAATAATAAGGAGTAATTAATTTAAAACTAGGTATAAAAAATAGTATCGGAAGAAAGCTTATAGTAACTTGGAACTGAAAATAGGCTTTATGAAAGTGACGGCAAAATTTTGGAGACTTTTCATGTAGTCGAGTTGAAATGAGTCAGAGCTTCAAGCTAGAATGGCTGAAAGACAGGAATATTAGATTTCCAGGAAACAGCTTATTCTGAATAAAGTGGCAATTTGTTGTATGACAGAAATTTGAAGTTGCTTTGAATGCTCTAGACAGCGTACAATTTTAGAATGAAACAGTTTAGAGTTTGAGGCAATCTCACAGGGGAGGACATTGCTTCTGAGTAACATGTTTTCTGGCAGGAATTAATACATTTTTTTAACTTTGATAAAGGTATCGCTGACTACTGATAACAAGAAAAGTCTCATACAAATAACTTTATAACATAAAATGTAGTGAAATGTTTGGAATTGAGAAGCATGGATGAACCATTGCTCTGGAAAACATAAAAAAGAGAGAAAAAAGGTCAGAGATAGAATCATGATCGTTTGGTGGTAATAGTTTAGCTTAGTAGAAGCAGTAATAAATCTTACAATAATAGCAATGAAAATGGAGGAAGAGAAAAAATGTTTTTAATGCTAGGAGTTTTAAAAATAAGAATGAACTTTCAAACTGTGGAATACTTTTTCAACAATTTGTATGCTGTGAATTGAGTTGACTTGAGAAGAGAGCTTATAAGGTGGCATAAAACTTGACTAAAAACATTAAGTGTAATGTAAGGTAGTTCCTGGGCTAACTGGAAGGGTAGATAAATTCATGAATGGTAAAATTTTGATTTGATTCCCAGAATTTTAGAGGTCACATAATTTGAGACTAACAATTAATCAATTTAATAAAAACAAACTTCATTACCATTTTGTGTCAAATACTTCAAACTTGAATGGTAATACTATTGTATATAAAGACAAATAAAATTTAAATATTATCACGATACTAGATGTCAAGTTAAAAATCTTGACAGGAGGATTATGGGTAAATGCATCCAAAAATGAAGAGAATATCATGATGTATTAGTGCCACTTTCTTCTTATGACTACGCAGTACATGATGAAGAAATTGAAAGAGGGGAAAGGGTATAATATTTTATAAGAATTGATGAGAGAAAAATGGAAACACTTGCTTAGTGAATGCTGTCAGCAGAAAAATATTTGTTGTAAAACAAATTTTTATGGTGATTCACAGATACTTCAACAGTACGATTTTGGAGTAAAGGATTAAAAAGCATCAAATGTGTTTAGCAAAAGGTGAAATTACAGTGGGTGAAGAAAGCTAGTTCAGCTGTTTTGGAAATCATCTGAAACTAGTACAAAATTTTCATACTTGGATATCACACAAAAATGGATCGTTATTCTTGACAGAGCTATGTGGAATCTCTCAGCGCCATTTCATTCAAACAGACATCTAAGTGTTGATTTATATTATCACTGGACACTAAATTATTACAGCAAGGGCAAGGAACTTGTGGCTCGGAGCCTAGATTATAATCTGTGACATTGAATCGGTCATCTTGACCATTCGTAGTTTCATCCTCTTCATCTGAGATGTAAATGTCTTGATCAAATTGCCTCTTTGGGGGAATGGCATCCTTCGATTCTACAATATTTACTATTCCATTCACCGAATTAGAGGATTGTGCTTGATCAATGTTAGTAGGCTGATACTCAGAGGATGGGCCAGGTAAAAATCCAACACAGCTATCAAGATGATCATTTACGGTGTTACGACTGACTTTCATTGAGCAAACTGGACAAGGTACCATATCCTTCTCTGGAGTATCAAGACAAATAGTTTCAACACTAAAAAGCGGTTTTTTGGTGGGACACTCCCTTTCTACATCAGGAGAGTTTGTACTATCAGACACTGATCGTCTTTTAACTGTTAATCTAGCATCCGAGTCTGAGTTTGGTGTAGTACTTGAAGTAGAGAAGGATGCAAGAAATTTATCACGAGATGCTTTGGTGCTACCTTTTTTGCTATTGGAGGAGGGAAAATTGCGCATTTGCAAGCTACTAAGTGGGCTGACAGTCGATTTTGTTGGGGAGGAGCAATCTATCATTCGCCGGCTATCAACAGTCGGACTTTCTTGTAACTTTTGAGTTGGACTCTGCTTAGTTTCTTGCACCAGACTCCGGTGTGTTTTTTGCATTGGACTCTGTCGTGTTCTTTGCTTCTGCTTCTCTCGCTCTTGATTCGAGAACATCGCCAGCAGACGACTCCTTGATCTGTCATTTGCATTACCACCAAGTACTTGCCCATTGGATTTAAATGCTTGGAACCTGTCAATATTCAAAGGATTATCAACCTTTTTCACCTCTTGGGGCTCTTCTGCACTGACTTTTGTTTTGGTTTGCGTCTTGGGAGGAACTAAGACAGTGCTGCTACCTTTGTTTTTCAATCCTCCGCCAGCAGTTCTTCCTGCATTCCTGTAATTTCCAGGGGTGCTTCCCAAATTGCTTGTTCCTAAGGTTCTACCTGACGATGCTGTTCCAATTTTACCTCGACTACTGGTAGAGTTGCTTAATCCATTGGAGTTGCTGGAAGTAAGATCATGGAACCCGACTATGTTAGAGTTTGTTGTAGCGGATGCACTAACGGTTGGGTTCGAAGGTTCGTTCAGATCATTGAATCCATAAATTTTGGCAGCAACTAAACTAGGACTAGGGTTTACTTGGCTAGAGCTAGAGCTTGTGGATGTGGATGGTTGTGGAAAGAAGTTCCTGATGTCTTTAGCGCTAGACTTGGACGACTTGGGATTGGAGGAAGCTGAAACAGGGAGGCAAAAGAAAATTAATCGGTGAAGATTTGAAAACTCAAAAAATAAAATCGTCATCAGATGAAAAATTATACAACAGGGTGCATAAAAGCAAGCAGCACTTTTAGCTTTTAATAAATAATAAAGGCTCTATGGAAAACTAAATATTTTTATCTTTCTAGGTGACAACATCATGCTGGCATTGGACCAACAGTGGCATAGTATAGAAGGGGAAAGTGCAAAGAGGCTGCTAGTGGGCCTCACTTCGAAAGGAGCAAGGATTTATCTATTAATGAATATTCCTTTGATTGTCTTTAAATATCAGTCAGTGAAGACAAACTATGAAAGCAAAGAAATGCTTAAACATCTCACGATCAATGAGAGTTCTGACATTGTATTAATTTAAAGCTAAAAATATGTAATGAAAATAAAAATATAAATGAAATGGATAAACATAAATATTAATTTTTTTAAAAACAATAGATAGCACTATAGATATTTATCTTCATGCTTTCTATAGTTTGTCAACATTTCAAATAAATACTGACAGATATACAAGCAAAGCACCCAATTCAAAAATATATTTTTCCTTGAAATTTTCGGATACACACTTTAGATTGACAAACAAAATTGTCTGAAAAATTTGAGAATAACAATATTTTCACAATATTCAAAATGTATTTGTTTTTTAAAACTATTTATTGTAAACTGCCACACATTACGAATTATATACGTTGTTTCTACCAGTTAAATAAAAAAGATTAAGTTAACGTTTTCAATAAATTTTGGTAAAAAATTTGTTCTTCATTGAAGGAAATAAGTAATGAGGGCAACATCTAAAGGCTCATAAGGCATTCTTCCTTAGCGCTGCGGTATAATTTAAATTACTATTCCTTTTTTTTTATGAAAAAGTGTCAGCTCAGGTAAGTAAACAGTAAAAAGTGAAACGTAGATAAAAGTGTCAATAAGCAAATTTTTGTTCGTCAACTGTAGACAAAATCCGTAAACAGTTTAACAAAATACGTCATGAAAACAAATTTTCGTTCTCCGTCTGTGCATAAATGGACGTGAGCTAGCCTAACCCGCCAAATCGCCTGTAATTAAATGAAATTTAATTTTCATTAACAGTTTCGTAATTATGTCCGGACCACGTTATCTAACCTGTTGACAATTCTGGGTGAGAGAGTGAAACCCATCGACAGTCCTGTAAATAGGCCACCGGGCTCTGATTGGTTGATGAAAATACCAACTTCGTTAACATGCAGGACAACTGTTTACTCATTTTGACGACAGTTTTCACACGAAAATTTGTGTAGGGGATTAATAATGTATAAAACATTGATCTGTACCTCAATAAACAGTTTTCCCCATTTTTTGCATTTTAAAATTGTTATCTAAACAATGAGTACGCAATGAATACAGAAACTATGATAAGATACACATATCGTTGCTTCTCTGACATAAGGGCATACCTCAATCGGACGTATTTATGCTAAAACGAATTAAGTGCATAGGATTTGCATGTAACATAGTTCCTTTTAGCATAAATACGTCCAATTTCCCCATGAGCATCAGGAAGCATGGATTCTTAAGTAAAACATTGCTCACATTAAAATTGTGATACGCCCTTACATCAGAGGCACGACGATTTAGGACATTCTTTTAGAAGACTTATAGAGATTGTGTCCTGTGTAAAAGTACTTACTGGACGAGCTTTTCGGTTTCTTTTCTTTTTTTCCATAATTTTCTGGCTCCTTAATTTTGATGAATGTTCCCCCACACTCTGCATGATGGTCGCCATACCAGAAATCGTATGGTCCCGGGGCACGGTTTTTGGCACGCCTCACATAACCATAGTACGGCTTGCGATCACGGCATGGACCGTTGCATCGCCACCAGTGCTGTTGGTACAATCGCACTTCATCGTGGAATGAGTGATAAACCTGTATAAAACACAAGATTAGTTATCAGAGACAGATATGGTAGATTCACTTACATTCACTGTTAGAGTAGAACCCAAAATTTGTCAAAAGGACTTCAAAACTTTGAGCAAGCAGGTACAGCATTGATTTCAGTTTTTTTGGTGTGGTTAAATCACAAACGAAAACATTGGTCGGAGAAAATTCTAACTTCAGTAGTGCCAAGTAGTTTCTGAAAACAAGAGCACATGACCTTTCACTTCGGTTTTCTCAAAATCAGCTCAATATGACTTGGTTCCTTTTTGCTAAACGTGGTAAAATACCTTAGCCCAGGGGATAACTAAAGACAGCAGAGGTGAGAGTCGCATGTAAGTAATAGATTTTCTATACACTTAATTGAGAGAAAAACAAGCAAATTAATGATTGTGACTGGGATTCTACAGAACTGAACCTACAATTTGAAGGTTCAAGAATCTTTAAAACTTTTCTCTGGAGATAAATCGATAGCTTTTGGGCACTTGAGAACAAACGGAGGAACAGCATCGAGGATAGTCTAGGACTTGAATTCAGAGAAGAGTTGAAGAGGTTTAATGAGCGATGAATAGCTTCTTCTGTTTCTTATTCACACCTTGGATTCAAGTTCAATGGAAAAAGAGTTGGGATTCTTCCCAAATTTGTTAAGATAGTATACTTGCCGTAATTTTGGTGCCAGCTTCTTTATTGATGCGGCCCATGTGCTTGTGGAACTCAGGTCCATGACCATCGCGATCTCTGTTGTTGGCAGTTACAAACAGGTAAGCATGGATCATTTCGTGCTGGAATGGTAAAATTTTTCATAATTAGTCTCTCTTGTTTGGACAATATGTTCCAAAACTTTGTAAAAACTTCCAGATATTGCAATAATCTTATGATTTTCTACTTTAGCCAACAGTGTGTTATTTTGAAAGTTTTTCCTGTTTTATCAGGAGTCCTGCTGATGTTTTCTTAGAAAATTTTTGTTTTTACCTTTTTTTCGGTATGTGTAATCCATCTACATACCAATATGTTAGATAGACATATACATTGGTAGAAAAGGTTGTTAGACAAGGCTGAAACCAGGAGCGTACAAAATTCAAGATTCTATTATTTACGGATACAAATAGGGGCACAGCTTTCGTTTGCTTACTTCGATCCAAGCTTGGAGCCAATTTTCAGGAGAAACCTTTCATCTATTTCAAACCAAGTCAAATCTTTTGTCACTTGGTTCTCCATTTATCGCAGTGATGAGTATCAAATTAATCCTGATCCAGTTTTCAAATTGCAATCCTAAAATATGATCTATCTCTCAAGCAGATAGATTCATTCTCAAAGCTACTGGTGTACGCTGGTTTCTTTTGCACAAATGAGTTTAATTTAATGGCTGAGAGTCTAGGTATTCAAGAATTCCTGCATTTTCAAATGATAAATAAACGGAATGGTTTTCTGCAGATGAAGACAAAGTTCGAAAGACTCACCAACAATGTATTTATGAGATCGCTGCGAGGTCGAAGTTTCAGTAGGGGCTCGCTCAACCTCACAGAACACAACCCCATTCTTCCTTGGTAGTAGCATATACCTGCACAGCTAAAAGAAAGAAAAAAAAATTAGGAACTGAAAAGTAAGTTGAAGAGCTTCATGATAGTTGGATTTTGTTTTTTATGGGTAGCACAAATAATTACACTATGATAGTTCTACTTTCAGCATTGATCCTAACTCGAATTTGAAACCCTTTCTCAAAGGAGAAGCCTGACTTGCAAAGAAGAGAAGGGTCGATTCGATACCACCTGGAAATGTTCCAGCATTTTCTAGTTTATTTTGCTTCAGTCTTTGTTGGGTGTTTTGTTAAAAAATTTGAGCTATTTTGCATATTATATCCTTCCACTGTATATCTGAGCATGTCTACAGCATGTAAAGGCACAGGTCAAATTCTAATTAGCTTAAAACTGGTGCAATTCAACAGATAAATGCGTATGACACAGGCAATTAAGAATCGTCTGCAATTTGCAAGGGGTTCACAAGATTTTTCGATAAATCGCAATAATACGCAAAGCTGTGAAGCAATTTTTAAGGGTTATGGTCTTCAAAAGCATGAGCTCCGCTTGGAGAGCCTTCATTTTTGGTGATACTCCATGCTTTGTCTCGAAACTAGTTTAGTTGCCTGACCGATCTCAACCCAACTAATGCCACTGAGTTTACTGCACGCTCTTTCGAATGTGCCTACTTCTACCATGTTTTCACGGAGAAAGAAGTGTCCATTTGCATAGGCAACACAATCAACACTCTAAACTTGTTCTTCTACTTCTTAATTTTATGATTTCTTACATTTATTCACTACTGGCTTGCAAATTGCCGGCGATTGTTCATTGCCTGTGGCACATACATTCAGATGGAATGCATTGATAAAATAACCAAGGGACAAAGTAAAGCAAAGAATTCAAAACCTTCTCCCTGCATGAGGCATCATTTAAGTTAAGTCACATAATCAAAAGAAAACTTGAGGAGTTTTACCTTGTCATCTGCTTGCTCCATTTGACTTCAACAGCGTCTAATCTGCCCCAAAAAAAGCGTTTGTTGAATTCACCAAAGAGTGCAAATATATCAGGGGTTGGATCAATCACCTCCCATGAGGAATCATTCAGAGAGGTAAGTTTTTCAACTTCCTTGCTAGGCTGCTTAGGACTAGGTTTCCGGGATTTTCCTTTGGATCCTGATTCGCTGCTGAACTTATCCAAGTCGCGTTGAAAAATTAGATTTTCTTTGTTGGGCTACAGAAAGCAAAAACAACAGACATTCATTTTATATTAATGCTTCAATTGAGGGGCTTGATGGACGAGGGGATGTGTGCAGTTTTGGCAATTTCGCAAAATATGAGTTGAAAGTTTCAAAATTACATGGCGCCTTATGAAGGAAAGAAAATTCCAACTCACTTTCTCATGCTTGAAAATTATATAAGGGTGGTGAATTTCCCATGGAATATATTTTTAGACTAATTTTAGATAAAATAGTTAACATCTCGAATTTTTAAAAAACTGCACTTACGCACCTTGTCTTCCAAGCCCCTTAATTCATCTACAATGTCAAACTTGACGCACAGGGTGGTAAAATGGCACAAAAATCATGATGGTTTCATTACAAACCTGGAGGAACACAAGGGTGCTACAGGTTTTCTCTGAAATCAACTCCAAGGCTCAAAAAAGCTCCTAAAGTTGATATGGTAATAGAGGGAATATCCCATTCTACCCTGAAAGTCCACATCAAAATCAAGACAAACTCTCTATCGCAAAGATAGGGAGCAAATACATTAGCAGGGTTGCTGTGTTTCCAGTTTAGGAGTTTCCAAACAAGGTGGCAGCCCTGTCAATGTATTTGCTCCCAACCTTTGCACGGAGAGTTTGTTTTGATGTAGAGGTGGACTGCATGTATTAACCTGTTGAGGGGTGCGAATTCAGAGCTGATTGGAGATTGACGTTTGTCTCAACGTACAATGCGCAAGCTCCAGTTTAATATTACTGGGACTGCTAGGACTAGCTGTGCGATTTGATGAGAATAACGGGACATATTATCATATCAATACTTCTGCCTCACACCAACAGGCAGTGGGATAGCTTGCTGAACCAACAGACCTTTCAGCAAGCCATGAAGCTGCAGTTTGCAGAGATGAGAATTCAGATACTTACACTGGATGCAGTTGTTTCACTTTGGAGCTCATCCTGAAGCTGTAGTGCCAGCAAGTAATCCATGTCTTCCATTTCTCCAAAATTGAGAACGTACACGACAAACTCGAACCTGAATTGAAAATACTTGAAAGGAACTGAAATTTGGTAGACTCACTGGTAGGAATCTTGTGTCATGGTGAAAAAACAGATCAACACATGGATCGAAATGGACAGTTCAAACTAGGTTCAAACATTTCAAAAAAGTTACAGAGGAGACGAGGTACTTTCATCAACTTTCATACGTCTCATTCAGTTCTCACTTCTCACTTCTCACGCTTCGCAAAGTCGCAAACGCAACTTCTCACGAAAACTTGTACTTGCAGAGGGAACATAACCACATAACCTAAAAATAACAACAGTCTTGAGGTAAATAGTAAATATGGTGCCTCATGGCGCAACGTCGCTCGTAAAATGGAGCGAATTTTGAATTTGGGCATTTGTGTCGTTCACTTTGCGCCGAGCAATATTAGCTTGGTGAGAGTAATGATGGAAAACCAGATTATTTTAGGACTGGAATCCACAGAAGTTTAAACAATTGACATTGTCATAAATGAGCAGAAGGAATAAATCCCATAACTTTTGAACCGTTCGAGATAGAAAAACGAAACTTGGAGAATGGTTCTATCTCATAAGGGACCATTTTCTGGGAGGGGGGGGGGGGNGTGACGTACTATTGAGTGCTCCCATAAGAAATACATTGTATGCACTCAATACTACGTCACTGCGCAGTAGAGTACCAAAATTCGTCCTCGGGAATGACTGACCTGTGTGGATTGGTCTTGGTAACCACTATCTCGTGATACCTCATTGGAAAGAACATTACAAACTAAGAAGTTTCCCTATCTTTGCCTCAAAATTATCTCGGTAAGTTCAAAATTACTTCAAAATTACTTCAAAATTACATTCTCAAGCCCCCATATTTCGGGCGAAGTTAAAAAAAGAAAAAAAAAAATTAATGCAAATATCTCTGCTCAATTTTCTGAGTCCATTCACCATGACTAGTGACTAAAATGAACAATATTCGCAATTTGCCGTTCATAATCTGCATATTCGAAGTGCAATTTCCCATGCACTTCCATTACAGGTGGGTTAAAGTATGGCATACCGCTACACAGGTTGCCTACCCTGGCGCTGCAGGCGACTGGGAGGCCGCTTCTTTCCTACGGCAAGTATACGGCGTGCCGGTATCGGGAGTCCTTAGTAATCTTTGGCACTAACGTATCTCTGTCTGAAATCGAGCGGTACGCTTTTCATCAGTTCTCGAAGGAAAAGAAAACCGAAAAGCAAAAGCTAATGCGAATCTCGAACAGGATGCAGTCTGTCGAGGATACCCTATCGCGTGCGCCAATCAGAATCAGTCTCGATCGGGCGACGCTACTCCGGGCCCCCCACCCCATGCAAATCATGCCCTGAGGATCCGCACCTTTCCGCCGGCGATTGTTTCATTCATTCGGTTGTAGTGTGTAGTCTCGCGTCCGGTCGGAGTAACTCTCCCGTGGTACCAAGTGATTTTCCTTTAATTGAAAGTTCTAAGACTCTTAGAACTCTTCGAATGTGTCTCGTTACCTCGTCTGTTGTGCGAAAACTCTTTGGTGTATGTTAAATCGATCGTGTGAAGTAATTAGCCTCTTGAATTGAGTCCTTCATCGTCGAAGTAGGCACCTCGTGCTCGGCGTTTGAGCAAATTGATTGCCAATGGACCCTCACAACTTCCATCGATTCTCGTAGTTTCACATGATTTTCTTGTTTCCGGCGTTTATTTTGGCAGTGTGTCTCGGTACGTCGTGTGTTTCGCGTAAATTCTTCGGCGATGTAAGCGTACATATACAAACTATCGTGTGTGTTCGGTAATTTGTCACATGGATTGGACAATGGCCGTCGCTGAGAGGCCTTGTGTTTCACGAAATTCATTGCCGAAATCGTGTCCGGCGTTTGAGGGAATTGAACCCCGAAACTTTCATCGAATTTCGTCGTTTCCAATGTTTCGAGTTGACATCTATGTGAACTTCTCCATTTCACCATGAACTTACCCGCGCGCGTTTTCCGTTTTCTTCACTGTCCAGCCTCCAGCGACCTGTTGTGCGGCGACATTTCGGGAGTCCGAGTGATTTCGTCCCTCGTGTGTCGGTGTGTGTGCGTGTGTGTTTCCGAGCAATCCAGCATATTATCGGCTTCGCGTTTTGAGTGTCTGCGTCTCCTTCTCACTCTACTTCGATTAATTTCGTGCCTATCATTCGGAGGAGTCTCATATATCCTGGTCACTCTTAGCTCCCTTTGATGCGTATGTATTTCGGCGTTGGTCTGGATTCAGGTTAGATTTATAGCACATATCTTTCTTCGATTCTGCTCAGATTTGGTGTCATGTTTGCAAAATTGTACGTAACTCATACTTTACTCTCATTATGTTTTCTGTCTTCTTCCTCCTCTCTTTTTCCATTCTTGCTTATGTGCTTCTCTCTCATTATTGTGCCTCATTTTCACAGTACCTATACTCCTGTAACAGTCAAAAGCAAGTACCTAGGGACAAATCTTGCTGTCATGTTTTCCTTAGTTATAGTTACGTATAATTCTGCTTCACTTAGCAACATTTGTTATCCCTCCTTTTTAGGCCAGAAACTTGTGTAGTACTGTACACACATACAAACCCAGTATAATTAATGAGAACATTATTTTTAGGTGTTAGAGTTAAACACAATTCAATTAATTATATTCATAGAAATTATCTGCCGAAATATCTGGAATTATTTAAGCATCTCTTTTAGCCCATAAGATGTAAAAGTCATATTGCTTCAATCTGAATTAAGTAATCAGTTAAAAATTCCAGCGACAACTGGACTAGGCTCGGAAGAGCGGACTGTATTTGTGAGGATGAGAGGTTTCCAGACTTCTGATTAAACTGCCTTGAGTCAAAGTCTGTATACTCTCTGATTTTACAGGTGGAAATTTCTCAGGATTTTCTTTATTTCAGCTTATTCTTAGTCAGCAATAGTGGCTGTATTCGTTAGGATGAGAGGTTTCCAGGCTTCTGATTAAACTGCCTTGAGTCAAAGTCCGTATACTCTCTGATTTTACAGGTGGAAATTTCTCAGGATCTTCGTTATTTCAGCTTAATCTTAGTCAACAATAGTGTTTTCTGCCTCATGCCTTTACATTATCTCCTTGAAGTCTATGAATATTTTAATTGAAAGTTCCAAGTAGATTTTCCATAAACCTGTAAATAAAATGCGTAGGGAACCTCCCCCTCCCAAAGTATGGCAAAACAGTCTCCCCTAGAGGTTCCTTGCAGTCGGCAAATATTTTAATTGAATGTTCCTAGTAGGTATTCTGGGCACCCGTAATTAAAATGTGTAGGTACACCCCCCCCCCCCCCAAATATTGTACAGTCTCCTAAAGAGGTAGTCTCTCCAAGCAATGGATATTCTGCATAATTTAAACTAGCTTCATACATTGCTTGCATTTTCTCATTTCATTGCATTTATGAAGACCGGGAAAAGTTTGAGATTGTTCGAATCTTCATGGGTAGAGTTAATCCTTAGGTTTATTTTCAACATTTAATAGCTGATTTGAATTTTCTCTTTCGTCGACTTAGCCCGTTAGATTAAATTGAAGAGAGAAGATAAGGATAAATGATAGACAGGGAGCGAGCATCCCTTGAAAGTCGCAAGAACTTGAAGTGCGCTTATCTACAGCCTTTGGTGTGAGAGGGAGCCTCAAAGTGCATCTCGGAGAGATTAAAAATTCCAAGATTTCCCGGAAAAAACCCTCCGAAAATTCTCTCTGTGCTGAAAAGAGGCCCCCCCCCACCCAGAAATCTGACGTAGGTACACCTATGTTCACACGTTTCCTGAAAATTTTCAATTAGATTTTCTCTGAAAATTGAGAAGATGTTAAGAGGGTCATTTCAACATAAATGGGGGGAGGGAGAGGTCGTTCGGAGGCGGTGAAATTTGCCGCTAAAAAAAAATCTCCGACAGTTATCAAATAATGCCAAAAATTTCTCTTTCAGGAGGGAGGAATTTTTTTCCCCCCTTAATTGCTCTAGCCAAATGATCCTCCTAAATGATGTTAGAATCAATGATTCTTAGGTAAAGAGTAGTCACCCCCAACCCCGCCCGTACGAATTGATAAAATTATTAAGTACCTATCAAAATTATTCTGTGCTGGCGGAAGAAAAAATTAATTCCGCCCGAAAAATCTGTTCAAGAGAGAGATAGAGATAGAGAGGATTTTCGTTAGGTCCGAATGCCAGTATCGTTTTGGCGCGAAGAGGACAGATCGATAGGAATTGGCGGGCACCTAGGTAAATCCACTCCGTTCTCAATCAGCAGCTCGCGCCAGTGCCCACCCAGACACCGGATGCCAGGTTACGCACACAGACGCATCTTTCTATGAATTCTTTCAGGCTCCGAGGATTTCAGCAGGTAGATCCAGACATTCAGCCCCTCACCCTACCTCGGCGAATCGTTCGTTCATCGTTTGCCGATAACACATTGGTTTTCCCCAGCTCAACCTCACTTTCCGTCTCCACAGGGTCAGATAAGAAGCGTCGAATACCTCTCACCCCCCCCCCCCCCCCCCCCCCCCCCCCCCCCCCCCCCNCCCCCTTCCCCCTTCCTCCTCTCTCCCTCGCTCCTTCCTTTTTCTTGTTTCTTTTTTTTCTCTCTTTCCTTCTTTGCTCTGTTCTTTTCTTTCCGTCTCTTATTTAAGCATGAGTGTAACTATTTTTGAAAAATCTAACCTTTGAATTAATTTATCAACTGTAGTTCTTGCATGTGTTAGGGATTTTCGATTTACGTACTTGTTCTTACTTAAGGTCATTCGACGGTTGCCATATTTTGTGTCAGAGCGACGCGCGATATTTCGCATCAATTCGTTCCATAATTTCAGCTATCTATTTATTTTTTTCGAATTTTGAGATCGCACTTCTGTTGCCATGAGATTGAAGAATTCATGTACCAAATTTACCACAAAATTACAACGTATCGTAGGCAGGATTTTGTAGCGGAAAAATATCGCATTCGATACTAATATCGAAATTGCACTCGACTGCGATATTTTTCCTCTACAAAACCCTGCCTTCGATACGTTGAATTTTTTTGTTAAATTTGGTACTTACATGAATTTTTCAGTCTCATGACAACAGAAGTTCGATCTCAAAATTTAAAAAAAAATAGCAAGTTGCTGAAATTACGGAACGAATTGATGCGATTTACCGCACGTCGCTCTGACATAAAACATAGCAACTGTCGAATCACCTTGAGATTTCAAGAGAAACACCCTGGTTCCCCTTAGTTTTCTCTAAAATCAATTCTCAAGCTCAAACAAAGTTCTCTAAGTTGAGGCCGTAGTAGAGGGGATATCCCACGCTGCCCAGAGAGTCCTCCTCTGTATCCAGTTACATTTTCCATGCAAAGATAGGGTGCAAATGCATTAGCATCAGGGTTACCGTTTTGTTTGGGGACTCCATAGTTGGAACCACGGCAATCTTGCGAATGTATTTGCCCCCTATCTTTGCTTTGAGAGTTTGACTGGATATGGAGATGGATTCTCAGGGTAGCGTGAGATATCCTCGCCATTACGGCTTCAACTTCGAGAGCTTTTTTTGAGCTTGGGAATTGATCATAGAGAAAACCAAGGGCGCCACAGTGTTCCTCACGAAATTTTACGCGCAATAAGATGACTTTATCGAGATTAAGAGTGGATGAATGTTGATCCCTCCCGCGTGGATGTTGTCTTAGAGGGGGGTGGTGGGGAGCGGGGACTGAGGGTGAGTGGTTTGTTGGACGGTCGGGTGGGCAGTCGGTCGAACGATTTGTCGATCTCTTTTTCCCGGAAAAAGCTTTCGAGAGATCGTTCGACCTATACTGTTCATCTGGCGGTCTAAAAAACGGTGAGTGCTTGCTTGTGGTTTGTTGGACCGTCGGGTGGGCAGTCGGTCGAACGATCTGCCGATCGCTTTTTCCCCGGAAAAAGCTTTCGAGAGATCGTTCGACCTATGCTGCCCATCTGACGGTTTGACAAACGGTGTGTGCATGTGGTTTGTTTGACAGTCGGGTGGGCAGTCGGTCGAACGATTTGTCGATCGCTTTTTCCCCGGAAAAAGCTTTCGAGAGATCGTTCGACCTGTACTGTTCATCTGACGGTCTGACAAACTGTGAGTGCATGTGGTTTGTTTGACGGTCAGGTAGGCAGTCGGTCGAACGATTCGTCGATCGCTTTTTCCCCGGAAAAAGCTTTCGAGAGATCGTTCGACCTGTACTGTTCACCTGACGGTCGAACAAACGGTGAGTGCTTGTGGTTTGTTGGACGGTTAGATGGGCAGTCGGTCGAACGATCTGTCGATCGCTTTTTCCCCGGAAAAAGCTTTCGAGCGATCGTTCGACCTATACTGTTCATCTGACGGTCTGACAAACTGTGAGTGCATGTGGTTTGTTTGACGGTCGGGTGGGCGGTCGGTCGAACGATCTGTCGATCGCTTTTTCCCCGGAAAAAGCTTTTGAGAGATCGTTCGACCTATGCTGCCCATCTGACGGTTTGACAAACGGTGTGTGCATGTAGTTTGTTTGACAGTCGGGTGGGCAGTCGGTCGAACGATCTGTCGATTGCTTTTTCCCCGGAAAAAGCTTTCTAGAGATCGTTCGACCTATACTGTTCACCTGACGGTCTGACAAACTGTGAGTGCATGTGGTTTGTTTGACGGTCAGGTAGGCAGTCGCTCGAACTTTTTGTCGATCGCTTTTTCCCCGGAAAAAGCTTTCGAGAGACCGTTCGACTTACTGTCCATTTGATGGTCAAACAAACGGTGAGTGCTTGTGGTTTGTTGGACGGTCGGGTGGGCAGTCGGTCGAACGATTTGTCGATTGCTTTTTCCCCGGATAAAGCTTTCGAGAAATCGCTCGACCTATACTGTCCATATGACGGTCTGACAAACCGCGAGGCCTCACCCAGCTCTCGTCGCATCATCAGGATACGATCAGAAACTCCCATCATTGTGTGGTCAGCGATGACTTCATTTTGACGGAAGTGTGCTCGTAACCTGTTGATGCAACGAGCGCTTTTCATGATGGTGAGCTGGGAGGCCGTTTTCATTTTTTATACCATCCACCTTGGGCGGGCAGACCTGCCGTCGGGGCAAAGTCTGCGATCGAACTCCCGCCGACGCTGGCCAGCGGTCGTCGCGTTGGGCTGTCATTGCTGTGATTTGCACGACGGTTCGGTTTTCGTTCCGGACGATCCGGAACGGAATCCGGACCCAACGGAACTTTTCTGGGGCCGAATGCACCTCTCACCCTTTACTAAGGCACCAAATGA